TCTTTCCACGTAATCATGTTTTTACAGTTATCGTTTGCTGTATATCTTCCAGCAAACTTTATTTCGTGTGAAGTGTATTTAATTAATTAAATCTCTGCGAAAGATTGAGAAGATGAAGGGATAATTCAAACTATGAAGACATGGTTACATGGAAAAGACAAGAGTTGATACAATAATAAAGACATACATGTATTTGTATCCTGCTGGCATAAGGTTATAGAAGTTGATTGAGATTGAAAAATAATAATGAAAATAATAAAAAAAATAAAGACACATGTATTTGTATCGTGCTGGCATAAAGTTATAAAAGTTGATTGAGATTGAAAAATAATAATAAAAATAATTAAAAAAAGGAAATATTCAATCATCATTTAAAAGCATATTTGAAATCTGTAGAATAAACAGTTTTTGCAAAAAATGTGGAGCATTAGAGCTCTAGTAAGTCTAAAAATAAATGTAAACATCAATTAATAATAACTGATGTTATATATATATTATATATATAAACCAATTTGTTGCAATATTCACTATAAAAGGTTGTAAGGGTAAGATGGCTAAAAGTGAATAATTTAAAAGATAGTTAACATAATTTTACATAAACTGAAATATTTCATAGAATAAAATATTTGTAATATTTCGAAGTTTATGTAAGATTATGTAAAAATTATACCTTTACAACTTTTTATAGTAAATATTGCGAGGAATCGATTTATATGAGAAAAATTAAGGTAATTCTATTTTGAAAATATAAGTGACCTTTAAATAACCTTGAAAATCGCCGTTTAGGAAAAAGTCTGTGTCAACTTTTTCTTTTTCGAAATCCTGCAACTTTTATCTAAATTTAATAGAAAATGTATAAAAAATGCTCGACATTAGTACACACACACACACACACACACACACATATGGGTAAATTTATATAAATAGGGTGCTTTAGGAGGAATGATCAGGATTCTAGGATATGATTGTACACATCATTTTAAGCAAAGAAGTTTAGATAAACATGTTTAATAATTGTTCTATTCCGGTCATAAAAATATACAAAAATGAATGATATAATCTCTAAAAACTCACCTTTAAAAAAAGGTAAAAAAAGGCGACCAGTTAAGGGCACGCCATTAACAAAAATTATCCATTGCAAACCCATGTAGAATCCTATCCTATTGCAAACCCATGTAGAATCCTATAAAAATTAATCATTGCAAACCCATGTAGAATCCTAGGCAAAATTAACCATTGCAAACCCATGTAGAATCGTACCCATTGCAAACCTATGTAGAATCCTATGAAAAATTAACCATTGCAAACTCATGTAGAATCCTATGAAAAATTAACCATTGCAAACCCATGTAGAATTGTATTAAAAATTATCCATTGCAAACTTATGTAGAATCCTACATTGCAAACCCATGTACAATAGAATTGTATGAAAAATTATCGATTATAAACCCATGTACAATCGTAACAAAAGTAATGAAATAAAAAAAAAATTGCGCCAAGTGAAAGTAGAAACTTGTACCAGTGGAAAATTAAAGTTGCAGACATATATAGAGTCGTATAATGAATCAGTAAAAATTTAAATTTGCAAATGTAGAATCGTACCATAAAAAAACTTATCTTTTAAAAAAAAGATAAACAAGATGCCAAGTCCATGCGCCATGTGAAAAAGAAATAAAAAAATTTTAGTTAAAAAAACTGGGAGCGCTGCTAAATAATATTCTAACAATATTAAAATTAAATTGTTACTTTTAAACTCATTACAGTTAAAATATGTTTTGTGTTTAAATTAATTAATGTTACTTTAAGGTGCATTGTAATTTTGAAACTTAGCAGCGCGCCCAGTTTTTTTAACTAAAATTTTTTTATTTCTTTTTCACATGGCGCATGGACTTGGCATCTTGTTTATCTTTTTTTTTAAAAGATAAGTTTTTTTATGGTACGATTCTACATTTGCAAATTTAAATTTTTACTGATTCATTATACGACTCTATATATGTCTGCAACTTTAATTTTCCACTGGTACAAGTTTCTACTTTCACTTGGCGCAATTTTTTTTTTATTTCATTACTTTTGTTACGATTGTACATGGGTTTATAATCGATAATTTTTCATACAATTCTATTGTACATGGGTTTGCAATGTAGGATTCTACATAAGTTTGCAATGGATAATTTTTAATACAATTCTACATGGGTTTGCAATAGGATAGGATTCTACATGGGTTTGCAATGGATAATTTTTGTTAATGGCGTGCCCTTAACTGGTCGCCTTTTTTTACCTTTTTTTAAAGGTGAGTTTTTAGAGATTATAATACTTACTGAAAAGAACACACTTTGTTTCATAAATGAAGATAAAATCATCGAAACTTATCTTTTTTTTAGAATATAGTTATTAAATTACAAACTCGTCTCTTCTATACGCAATGTAAACAAATATTTTATTTTATCTAGTTTATTCCACACTCTTTATTAATTTAGTTATTCTATTTATTTTATTTATCATTTTTAATTGTTACATTTTATTTATTATTTCTTGATACAGTTTATTACTTGATCGTAGTTATTATTAATTTATTTATTATTTACTTATTTTTTTTTAATTTAGACGCTCTGACTTTAACAACTGGATGGGTCGAAAATTACGAAATAGGTCGTTATTTTTGTAAATTCGAAGACACGCATTACGTACCAAATAAAATGATGGCAGAACTTTATCCGCACGATGCCGCTATAATTGAGGAGAAAAACAATATCAAATACGGTATACAAATGGCTAACTATAAGCACAAACGCAGTAATTAAGACACGTATATTTTATTGTAAATTATACTCATTTTTAATGTAAGTATTATAATGTAAGTATTATCAAAAAAGGGTGTACATTTTAATCTGTTTCTGGATAATCTGTAGCGCAATTGAATAGTAAATTTAACATAATAATAATATAAATAAAATTACTAACAATTCAATAAAGTGTTCTCTTATCTCATTCAAATATTAAAAGATAACTCCATTTTAAAATCATAACTTTAAAGTATCACACATATTTCCAAGATATATTACAATTTGTAAATCAAAAACTAAATTCTACTAAGAGTCTAATAAGGCTAACTATTTATTATTAGAATATCTTGTCAGAAACAAAATTTCAGCTAATAAATCATGGAAACGATACGAGATAAAGAGTGACAAGAGTTACAAAAACGGATAATATTTCTGATTGTGAACGAGATGTAACATAAATCGATCAAACTATCAAGGAGACTAATGATAAATATATTCATTTAATTACATTATAAATTATATTGTGAAATATTTATTATAGTTTGATTACATTTTTGTTTTTGATCATCCAACGTTCAATATGTTAACACATGAATAATTTATAATATCGACTCTGTATTATAATATATTGCTGTCATGACAAACCAAAGTTTTAATCTAAATATTTCTAATGATTGTTCTGCGACATATATAAAACAAACTAAGAAGCATCATAGTACTAGGTTTAAAGAACATCGGAATAATATAAAATTAGATATTACTTCGCCTTCTGTTATTAGCAAACATCTGATTTCGATTAGAATAGTTTTAATATTTTACATACTAAAAAACATGTAAAGAAGAGAAAGTTGTCAGAAATGTTTTTCATTAAAAAACTTAATAATAACATAAACTCACAAAAGGATACAGAGAGATTAAATAAAATCTACAACAAAATAATTAAAGTCGTATAAAATAAGCTTATTGATAGTTTTAATATATTGTTGACGATCATCGCTGTTTGACACGTTGATTACTGTCTCTCGCTTTTAATTTCTGCTTTTTGTCATAAAGTGTTATAATGTTTATTTCGACAAAAAATGTGAATTTTGCTTATATTTAATTTTATAATAAGTAGTAATATTATAAATAATAATATTATCATTGCAGTTCTGCACTTGGACAGTTTTGTGCGTTTTTTGTTATCATCTTTATAATTTTTGTAATTTTTATGTTTAAAATAATTTTTTAGTGTTTCACTTTAAAAGGACTGCAACCACATGGTCGAATCGTCGTGATAGTTAATAAATTGATTTCTTGCTAGTTTGATTGATTATTTAATTATTCCTATTTACTGATTAGCGATTGAAAACAATTACGCGTACAATTTTCTTTGCCTATCCTTTTCAAAAATCTCCAAAGATCAAAACGAGCATTATTTGAAGACTTTCAAACCAAAAAACTTTTAATGTTTCCGCAAAGAAGGAAAATTTTTCTAAAAAGAGGCTGCTTATGAAAATGTTCACATTACTCATGTATATATATATATATATATATATATATATATATATAAATATGTATATTATAAAACTACTTGAATTCTTTAAAAATCCTAGAAATGTATGCAAGCTTCATGTATGCGATGTTGAACAAAAATAACGCTAAAGTATTTAATTGCAAAACGATGTTTTGGGATAATTAACTTACAGGAATTTAGATTGTACGAAACAAATATTAAACTTTTTATTTTGGCAGGTACAGAACACATCTTTTTCCCACTTTTTTGATTAAAAAGTAGACGAACAAAAGAGTGGTAAAAATAAAAAAAAATAACTCAGACTATTATATTAAATTAGACGCGAATCTTTAAAAATATTCAAATTGCAAAAACGTATTTATTGCAACATAAAAAAGTACGATTTTTTTTTAAATATGGCGCTTTTCTGCTTTAATGCTATTCCGTATTCATCTACCTTTTTCTATCTTAAAGGCGCATAGATCGAATAGAAGTATTGAGCTTCCCTTCCCATTTTCGTGGTTTCTTTGATTCATATAGTCACGTGACAACTCATGGTGGGAGAAAGCATAAAAAATCTCGATTCTGTAGCTAGTATGAGTTTTCAGGTCTGAAAATGAGGATAGGACATAGTGCGGAATTCTCTATAATATAGTAAACATAAGATTTGCATTTGTACTCTCTGCAATCGGTAAAAAAAACAGTATTACGGTAGATTTTTCATGGCTTTGATACAGTTATTATCTGAAGAGGTGATAACCATCATTCTCGGCTGCAATAATATAAGTATTGAGGATATTGTGAACTTTAGATGCACGTGCAAGCAGTTCCAGTGGGCAGGCGAATCCAAGAAGTTTTGGCAAAAAAAATATTTGCAGAGGTAACTCCGCTTGTTGAGACCTTAAAAGATTATGTAAATTCTATAAAGTTCAGAGACTATTATAAAAATATTGCAGTCGTAGTATGTTTATCAAATGTTTTGTGAATGTACACAATATATACTCTTGAGATATTCTCCGAATATTATCAATTTGTATTTGTTCCCCATGACTTATTGTTTTGAACTAATATTTATAGTTATAAAATTAATATTTTTCATTTTACTTTAATATTTTTTATATTTTTATATACTTTTATGTATTTTGACAAACACATTGATCCAAAAATAAGATCGAAACGTATCCATAAATAAAAATAACTTTTACAAGAAAATATTTACTAATATATACAAATTACAACGCCAGGTTTATTAATTAGCACAATTTTATTCGATTGTTTTATTTTATTGTTGTTATTTCATTAATTAGTTTTGTAAAGTAATATTTAAAAATATATATCAATGATGGTGTGAATTTTTAACTTGATATTCTTAATAACTCCAAATTGTAGTTAATTATTTTAAATATTTTACGTATTCGTTTAAAAATTATTAATTATTGAGTTATAATTATTGAATTTTGCAATTTTAACATTTAGTTGTATATAAACATTCGAAAGACAGATAATAAATTATTCACACAATATAAAAAAGCAATTATAAAAATTTGATTTTTTTATATCATGTTCTTCAAACATGTAAAAATGTTTTTTACCAAGTTTTAAACAATGTAGGTTCTCAAATAATAAAATTGTTAAACGATATATATATATTGCTTTGTCAACTGTTTTAGTATAAATAATCTAAAATTTTTTGAAGGTTGTGCATTTGTTGCAATAAGACAAGAAGATTTACATTTTGATCGATACTTTTTATATATTATGCATTTTATAAGATGTATTATTTCACAACTTTATTAATGATACAATAGCATTGCCTATAATGGGATTTTCAAAACTTTATTAAAATATTTTCTGTTGCAATTTTAGATGGCTTAATGCGAATAAGGACTGGTATAAACTTCTCGAAAAAAGTACAAAAAATGAGCAGGAGAAATCTAAACTAAAACAGCAGTATAAAAAATTTGACTTTGTAAAATTGGGAATCCATAGTGCACGTTTAATAAAAAAAATTGTGTCTATACTAATTAGTAAACATTTTACTATCAATGATACAATAGATAATTTAATAGGTTTTGAAGAAGTATTCAATGTTAAATGTATGAATACAATAAATGATATTTTTAATATATTCAGAAGTGGACCACGTGATCTCACAATGATTGTTTTTTTCATTGATGAAATTAGAACCTGCCTGACTCAATTTTTACGGTAGATTTTAATATATCAATAATGCTATATATAAATATTATAGAGACTAATAAACTTTTGCACAGTTAATTTGGAACTTTTTTTTAGAAAAGATTGCGATCTGACTAAAAGATATTGCTATAAGAAAATGTTTTACTTTCTGAGACAATGTTTGGTGAATGCAAAGTGGGAAAAATTAAAAAAAAACCTCACAGCAAGCAACTTATAGAACGGATGGCTACTATTGTGGCCCAATGGCTTCAGCCTGAAAAAGAAGTATTATTCTCGTCCATAAAAGCATCATTAAATAATATCAAACAAAAAGTACTGAATCAGCTAAGGAACAAATATCCCGACCATTTAATATTCTCTACGTCCGCCGATAAATTTTTATATTGGGAAAACAACAATATCGACAATAATTATTGGAACGAAGCAGAAGGAACCCAGATCATGGATGCACTTCAGGAATATTTATTTGATGACTTCAACTTTCCACAAATGAACTCAGAAGACAAAAAATTGGAACACAGTTGTATAGATAATGTAAGTTATTATAAATTAAAATACATAATAATAATGACTCCTCAATTATTATGCTTATATACATATTTATATGTGCTCGTTGTATATCTTAAAAACACGCTCTCTCTCTCTCTCTCTCTCTCTCTCTCTTTCTCTCTTCTTTTCTTTCTTTACTTAATTCTCGTAATTTTTTAAATAGGTCGTAGAAAATAAATGTGGTCGAAACGTAATTTTCTCAATAATATATCTCAGTGTGGCCAGAAGACTTGGTTTACGATGCGATATAAGACTAAATAATTTAACACTAATAATATATTGGAAACCCGATTAGTAAGTAATATATGTTAATATTAAATTAGGAATTATCTGAATTTTATTATTACACACACGCACATACACCAATGCACATATATTACATTTTGTTTTTAGTGCCACGAACAGCTTACAAAATGTAAGGTGTATTAACATATGTACTTATCGCTACATTTGTCGTAGCGAATATTCTATAATTCCAATTGATGCGGTTGGTAATTATTTGTATCTAATTAATATCAATTTTGACTCTTTTTAATTAATAAATTTGTAATTTTGGCAAAAATACGAGTTATTGAAACACACTTTATAAGATGGAGAGAATATACATTTCTCGTTTTCTTCTTTCGTAATCATAGCTTTGTTTTTACGTAATTTTACAATTTTTTTATTTTTTAGTTACTACTAGAAATCTTATATGTATTTGACTATCGACCCTATTACAATAATACTTTCATGCAAATTCCACATGAAATACGTAATTATAGATAATGGAATCATAAAAGGAGTAACCAAAAGGTGTGTAAATACAATTCATATTATGTTAATATATATATGTCAATATATATATATATATATATATATATATATATATATATATATATATATGTAAAATAATATCAATACAAGATTTAAATTTTCTTTCATAACATATACGTATAACTGTGCACATATCATTATTTATATTCCTTTATAAATTATATCTATAATTGAATTAGCTGTAATTGAACTTGCTCTGAATGTCTATTTATAAATTACTTAAAAAGAAATATTATTTAAAATTTAATATTACATTTCCCAGAGTATAGTTTACTTTGATATAGAAAGACAGATAGATGAAAAACCGAAATTTGTGATTGGAATGATCGTAGTACATGAGTGTAAAAGTGGATATATATATAAACGTAAATCTAAAACTAGTACTGCCGGTGTAATAGTTGGATGGTACATTAATAAACACAAAATTACGTTTGTGAAAAATGAAACAATGTATCCTCGTATGCACTTCAACACTTGTTGTAATTTGGGAGATCCAGATGACCTTATACATTACATAATTCTTACGGAAAATAATGAAATGTGTTGCGTAAATGAAGGTATGAATATTATTAAAAGCATATTGATGTTTAATTATTATCTCTGTTCAATATGCCAGCCTATCTCTTTATACACAAAAAATATATATATGTTTTTGTTATTATATTTTCTTTATTATTTTAGTTATTTTATTTATTTTAGTCATTATATTTTAGTCATTATATTTTATTTATGAGATTTATTATTGTTTCATTATTTAATTTTAGTAATCATTTATTTATTTTTTAATCGCATTTTTTTAATTTAGACGCCCTGATTCTGACATTTGCATGGATCGAAAATAGTGAAATAGGTCGATATTTTAACCAATTCAAAGGCACGCATTACGTGCCAAATAAAATGTTGGCAAAACTTTATCCACATGATACCGCTAGAATTGCCACCCGATATGGTAAAAAAGTGGCTACTTATAAGCAGCAGTGCATCACTAACAAATAACGATTCGTCGAATCGACGTCGCCTCAACATCTAATCGATTAATTCGTCGTCGATTCAACATCGAATTGACGTCGAATTGACTATCATTCCGCGCTGAGTAATTAGAGCGCGTAAATGTTATAGTAAATTAAAATTATTATAATACAAATGTAATATCAAAAAGAAAAGCATTAAGATTTTGGGCATCCTTGCGTAACAAGTTAGTAAATTTTAGAAAATTATATTAGAAATAATATCATAGTTAGAATAAAATTGCTAATTATATAGTTATAAATGTGTAATTTCATTTATTCATTTATTCAAGCAAACAGTTTTCTCTTACGTTATCCAAGTAGTATAATGATTTTAAAATAACAAGTATATTTAGATTATTCTTATTATATGTATATTTTCCTTAATATTTTTGTAATAAATAAATTTTAATATTTTGTGTAAACAACTTAAGAGTCTCTTTTACACATATATGCACTCACAACTACAATTACTATTTAATTTATCATTTTAATATTATAATTTTGTGTAATTCTATTTGTTTTTAACTTTTTTTTGTAATATTTAAATTTTATCAATTTTGCTATGCTAAATTTTTAGAGTGTTTCATTTTGAAGTGATTTCTTAGTTTCCTATAAAAATAATTATAAAAATAAATGATACATGTCATTAAATAATTGAAATAAAATTGTCATTAACAAAATTAAAAAGTGACATATCTTGATCTTTTTAAGGCGAATTTTGATCACTTTTTTACAGATTAGACAAAACTACGAACACATTTACTGTAGGATTATATGTATAACTTATGTTACATTTCTCATTTTACCTATCCATTTTTTCAAAGATCTTGAAAGATCTAAAACGGATATGCATTATTTGAAAGACTCTTCAAACATCAAGAAACTTTTAATGTTTCCGCAAAAAAAAATTCTTCTAAAAGAACCCAGCAAACACATATACTTGGAAATATAAAATAAAATGTAAATATATATAAAATATATATTAAAATAATATATATTTCTTACACATGTTTATTAAAAGAAATTAAACTCTAAACATAATACGCTATTATTTCCTTTTAAAAACATTTTACAAAATATGTTATAAAATCATCGATTAAAATAAACTTTAAAAATTTATACAACATTTTTTCAGCAAAATTAATATATTTATTTCCAGCAAACACTGATATATAATTGTTACATTGCTATAATAAAACGGAATATAACAGGTAATATAACGTGTACGTTACATGTAACATCCATGTTAGTTGTAATTTCCCACTCATAGATGTAACATTTTAATATAACATATATTACATTGTAGTTATATTGTCATTATATACCAAATAGCACATTGATGTATTGATAAGTCAGTGCTATGTTAGTTGTAGTTTCTCACTCATAGATGTAACATTTTAATATAACATATATTACATTGTAGTTATATTGTAATTATATACCAAATAGCACATTGATGTATTGATAAGTTAGTGCTATTTTGGGATATAATGACAATATAACTACAATGTAATATATATAATATTAACAATGTTACATGTATGAGTGGGAAATTATAACTAACATATACGTTACATGTAACATGCTTAAGTATATAACATTTATATACTGTGTTTGCTGGGATAGTACTTACTGAAAAGAACACAATTCGTTACCTAAATGAAGGTATGAAAATTATTGATATTTTATCTCTTTTTGAAATATTCTTATTAATTTACGAGCTCGTCTCTTTCAAACTCAAATTAGAAAAATATTTCATTATTTTCTTCTAGTTTATTATAATTCCTTTATTAAGTTATTCTGTTTATTTTATTTATTACATTCTTTATTGTATTTTATTTATCATTTTTTGTTTCACTTTCTTAGTTAATCGTAGTTATTATTTATTTATTTTTATTCGCATTTCATCTTTTTAATTTAGATGCTCTGACTTTAACAACTGGATGGGTCGAAAGTAGCGAAATAGGCCATTATTCTTCTACATTCGAAGATACGCATTACGTACTAAATAAAATGATGGCAAGACTTTTTCCGCATGATGCAGCCATAATTCACAAAAAAATAAACGATATCAAATATGATAAACAATAAGTGACTACCTATAAGCGCAAACGCAGTAATTAAGACACGTATATTTTATTGTAAATTCCAATATACGCCCTTCCTTTTGATATGATACTTATTATAAATGTAAGTATTATATCAAGAAGGGCGTACATTGTAATCTGTTTTTGGATCATCTTCAGCGCAATTAAATATAGTAAATTTAACGTATAAGACGGGCAACAAGAGCCAAATCGCGGATGACAATGCGTTATCCTAACGAAACTAAATAATTTTCCGTTAGAATTAAATACCGGTGCACAAGGCACCAAATTTTACTTGGACACGGCCAAGATTTTAAATATGAAATAATCTCATATTTGAGATTTTAATTTCCGTAGGGGGGTTAAAAGGGGGTATTGAAATTAAAATCTCAAATATGAGATTATTTCATATTTAAAATCTTGGCCGTGTCCAAGTAAAATTTGGTGCCTTGTGCACCGGTATTTAATTCTAACGGAAAATTATTTAGTTTCGTTAGGATAACGCATTGTCATCCGCGATTTGGCTCTTGTTGCCCGTCTTATACGTTAAATTTATATTTATATTACAGAGCCTTGTTAAAACTCTTATATAAATATAGTAAATTTTTCAAAATAATAACACAAATAAAATTGCTAATTAAAATTATTAATATGAGTTCTTTTTTACGTCTTCCAAATATTGTAAGATTTTAAAATACTAATTCCAAAGTATCACATATGTTTCTAAGATGTATTACAAAATTTTCATGTATAATATAATTGTTTGTTTATTATATTTCTCTAAATTAATCATTGTGCAAAAAATCGCAATTTCTATACTGCATCTGTAATAGGAAACATTTTTCTGAAATAAAATTTCACATATTCAATAAAAAAAAATATATTTTTATCAAATATGGTATACATGAAAATGCTCAAATTACATGAAATGATCAATTTAAATGCAACAAAATATATGAGTAATTTATATCTAATTATTTATAATGATGTTAATATATTCTTCTGCTTGTACGTTTTTTATAATTAAGAGAGCTAATAGAACTATTGTTCTATTTTAGATTGTATTTCCATACTTTCTTCTATTTTTTGAGATATATTTTCAAGCTTTTCTGACGAACTTTCTTTAAGTTCAGCTCCGTTTATATCTTGTATTTCCAAACTATCGTCTATTTCTTGAGGTATATTTTTAAGCTTCTTTGACAGAGTTTCTTTTAATTCGGGTTGGTTTATTTCTTGTACATTAATTAACTCCTCTAAAGTATGTAAAAATCGAAATCGATTATCATCACTTAATTTCCAAGCAAGTGAAGAAGCCTTATCGTAAATAACTTCGGGTTTCGGTATGCAAACTCGTTCCTCTCTGAATTCGTTTTCTTCAAGTTTTAATTTATCGATCTCCTCCTTCATTTTCTTCTCATCATTTTCATCAGCATCATCATCATTGGAAGTCACTGCAATATTTAAAATATAAATTATATGAAAAAAAAAAAAAAAAAAAAATTAAATGGACAAATCAATACTATATGTAATTATATGCAAATCAACAATTATCTGCAATTAATGTTATATAAATTTATAACAAATTACAAAATTGAAAAAAAAAAACTAACAACAGAGATTCAAAAGTTGTTCTTCCAGGTGAGTAAGTTTACAAATTCGATTTTGATGAGAGAAAGCCGCTTCATTTATGCCATCGCCAAGCAAATTCAATAGCAAATCCACAAATTGTGTTTCTTCCTCGGCTAACAACTTGTCCAAATAATTAAGAATCCAATCTAGAAGACCGATGCATAAGTAAGCTCGTATACTTTGAGATACGGGATAATTGGTTTTCGCATAAATGCTGTCTTCGTCTGTTGGCTTCCTATTATCCAGTATCGCGAGAATATGAATGAAAAATTTGTTATCTGTTGCATTTCCGCGTTCACGTGCCATTTCCTCATGCTGGAATATGTCAGCTAATACTGTTGTCAAATGTTTCAATCGAGTCTCTTCTTCGTCGCATGTAACTGCTTTAGCAATTCCATAACTAGCATTCAATTTCATCTGAAAACATCATTTCAATTAATTATAAGTATTGTTATTACACACATAATATATAGTATTGTTATAATATTGAAAGTATTATTTATGGAAGAATATATCTATTATAATAATTTCTTTTCTTACCATTATTTCTTTTGTTCCATCTTTTAGAATAGCATTAGTATTTTCATTCTTGCATAAGGCATCATAGTAAGAAGCTATATTATCTGTACTATATTTTATTTGAAGAGTTTGTAATACTCTATTGCTTTCCTTCAACCACATCTGCATTGATTCTAACTCAGTTCGTTTTTTATATTCGCTCGTAATCGCCTCGTGAGCGTCTATATGCACATTCAAATACTGCAGATATATAGACAAAATATTTTACATTTTATAAATTTAAAAATAATTTAAATATATAGTTATATAATTTTATTTTATAATTTATATTTTAATATGTAAATAATTTATATACATACACAAGACATATAATTTACCTGAATTTGTCGGAAACTTGCGATAAGGGAACGTGCTTTGGACCAGTCTGATTTAACAAGAGCACGTGTCATCGCATCTACAATTAAGGATATTCCATATCCTTCATCACCGCTCAGAAATGCTAATTGAGACGCTACCTCTAAACAATGTACGTCTTTCCGACGAGCAAGAATTTTCGCCGCCTTATCATACTGCTTCAATTCTACACGACTAATGTAAGCAATATTAAATATTAATTTAAAATAACAACTCTTTTCGTTAATTACTTCGGCTATGTACAACAATTATTATGTGACGACAAATTGTACAAATAATTTTCAGTTATGAAATGCATCATATATTATATCTATTTATATATATAGTATATATTATACACACATGTATAAAATAAACTATATATATATATATAATATAAAATTATTATGTAAAATATACATCATACATACATATGTATTATTTTGTATAATATAATTTTATGTAATAAATAATATAAAATTTATAATTATCAATAATTATATAAAATTAATTATCCTACCAATGAGCTGCTTGCTCCATTTGACCATTCAAAAGACACCATGCCGACCATAATTCTAATATCTTTTCTAAAAACGCATCAGTGATGTCCAATTTGCATCTCGCAAGCACGTAAGCCTCTTTAAACATATTAGCATTTAAAAATGCTTCTAAGGCTTCGTAAATTTTGTGTATGCAGAGTAAATATGACACTGCTTTCTCCACATTGCCTTGACTTATTAATTGGTGCGCGTACACTTCGCACATTTCTTTCCACATTCTGTAAAATTATATTAATAATTTTGTAAATTAATATTTGTAATGTTATTTTAAATATCTTTTCTTAATTGTTTATAAAAAAGTATTTGTATGTACTTCATAGAAATGCTAGACGCAAGCGATACCAAAAAATCATTTAATTCTTGATTTTTAGCCGCGCATATTAGATCATTTTGCAGACTACCGCACCATATATTCATCTCAGTTCTGGTATTTGAATCTTGTGTTGATTCTGCAAATATATATATATATATATATATATATATATATATATATATATATTAGTAACTCTATATATAATATAAAATAAAAAATGTATAATATATATAATTTTAATTTACTTTCATGATCAACAAGCTTTGAAAGATCTTCTTTAGAGAACAGCGATATGTTCGCAATGTTATCATCATCTTTGTCTTGCTGTTGTTTCGGACTTATATCGTTTCTGATAAAATTTAAAATGTTGTATTTATTGCTTATCAATTTGTTATATTTACTAAAATATGAATTTTTCTCTTTCTTCTTCGATGGTGCTATTTCAGACTCTGTAATCAAAATTTTTAATATAATTATATACATGTCAATTATAATTTAAGAAGTAATAATCTATGCAACTGTACTTGTATTATATGTATCAGATTGACCGTTTGTCGATTTGACAATTTGACTACAAGTCAAATTAATCGTATTACTCTGCTCTCCATTCATTTTAATTTTTGACCAATTTTTTGGTGGTTTCTGCTGTTTAAGATTCTTCTTTACAGCTTTAATGTCGGAGATTCGCTTCGGCGACTGCGTCGGTAAAGTATAATCCCATATGCGTAACATAAAGTCCGACGAGCCGGTCATTATCAATTGTGGTTTTAAGGGACTCCACATGCAACATAGCACCGGTCCATTGTGACCCATATATGTGCCCATTAGTTCCTGTTTTTCAACATTCCAAACCTAAAAGGAATATTTGAAAATTTTTATATAATCATGTATATATCTGTGTACTTTTATTATTTTTTACCATTAAAAATAATTTTTAGAATTTAATATATGATATTTGCAACACGTATCATTTAATAAAAATTCTAAATTTCAAGACTCACTACTTAAAAAAAAAAAAAAAATAAATTTATTAAAATTAAATTTATTTAAATTTAATAAATGACATCTAATGAAGCACAAAATAGTCATATAATAGTGTATAAGGCTGTTTAAATTACTATATAACTTATACACTATGTACTTTACCTGTGCGACGTTATCATAACTACCGGATACTAAGTGTCCGCTAAAGTGTGGACTCCAAGCTAGACACACCACTTTATTGTTGTGTCCTTTTAACATCGCTACTGTCTTGTAGCGTTTGCATTCTTCTTTACTGTCTTCCTCCTCGACACAATCCATAGTAAGTGCTCTTTCCAGGTCCTTCATCAGTTCTGACATATCAAAAATTACTATAGTACAATCGGAGGCAACTGCCAAGTAATTGGCAGCTGGCGACTTCCATTTATCTGTCGCCGTACTTTCGGGATGCCAAGCCAAGCAATTCACCATAGATCTTAACATATGTATTGTATCTTGTTTCTTCAGCATCTGATCGTAAAACATGATCGATCTGAAATAACAAACATCTATATATTTGATGCAATTATTTCATCATTTTTTAGAATAAATCTATGATTTATACCCATTTTCTAAACCAATCGCTAAGCACAAATTGGATTTCCAAGCAAATTCCGTGCATTCTTCCTTGATTATGGACATGGGTTCTGAAATATAGGTTGTGATAATAAAACAGTGTTATAAAATAGGGAGTTTCGACATCTCACCGTCATTTGGCGCGCATTTTTTGTACGCTACTAATTCCCCTTCCGCACAGGAGAATAAATAAAAATCCTCTTCAAGTTTAGCCCATTCAAGCTTATAAATAGTATTTCTATGATACTGCTTGTATAATATAGGTGGTTTATTAGTCCCAATTGCTTCGAATACACCAATGCGACCTTCTCCAGTACCAAAAGCCACGATGGATTCATCTTCAAGAAACCACGATACCTGATATAATAGTCATTTGCATATTATTCAATATTTGTCATATTTTAAATTATTTGAAAAAAAATTACCGCTCTTATTTTTCCTTTTATCTTCTGCCAATGCGAAACAACATCGAAACATTTTACATTGTCAGGGTCAGACAAATTCCACAGACGCAATATCGCGTCTCCAACGCCAAATACAATGCGCAAAGTATCGATGTCACAAGCTGCCATACAGTAAATAAAGCCTCCTTGCGTAGGAATTTTATATTCCAGGACAGCTGGTTTAGTAAGATCGCTGTTTCGTTTGCAACCTATAATCCAACGATCTTGTGCCGATGTCCAAACCGTGAATCTGAAATTTAATAACACCATGAGCTCCAATATTTTACCTTTAGGGTTGGATAAGTTAATAATTTTTTAAAACTAAGTTAAGTTAAAGTTAGTTGTTTATAAAATTAATTTAGTTAAGTTAAAAGTTGCATAAACAAAAAATTAATTCAGTTAAAGTTAAGATTAAATTAACTAAAGTTAAATCAAAAGTTAATTTTTAAAAACATTATTTATATTAAATTAGAATTTTGTTTGTTAATTCTTTTAAAATTTATAATAATAAATAACAAAGAAATTTTGATTTTTATATAGAAATATATTTTTTGATAATTACAATTGATGACAAATGAATATAAAATTAATAATACTTTAATTTAAAAATAATACATTTATAACTTATAGAAAAACAATAATAGTATGTATTCAGAAATAAAAAATTTAACTTAAGAAAAAAGTTAACAAGTTTAAAGTAAAAAATAACTAGTTGAAGTTAAAAATAATACATTTTAAATTAACTATGCTAAGTTAAACGTTATTTTAACTTTTTAACTTTATAAAACTTTTAACTAATTAACTAGTTATTACCCAATCCTGTTTACATTACATATCATTTTGTAGTACTATTAAAAATTTTTACTCACTCGGATTCTGTTCTCCAATTGTCAGATGCGGTATCATTTTTGGGTGCAGCAGCTATGCAAAACAATCCTCTGGTATGGTATGTATGAAATAACTTGCACGTAGGTTTGGTGTTGTTTGTAGAAAGATCCCAAGACAGAAGTTCACCCCAAAGAGAGGAAGTTAAAAGCACTTTAGGTTCTATCCAACACACCGCAATCCAAGTTCCAGTACCAGTACCAGTCGTAGTGTTAATTTTGCCTTTATGACAAGTATTTACAAGTGGCAAATTTGGCATATTTATCACAGTCTCGTATCTACCATCTCTACCAGCTCTCCAAATAAACACAGATCTAGAAAAAAGAATGTTTAACTGTTAATTGCTCCCTCATTTCAATATTCAAAAAGAAAATGATGACGATAAACTTTAAACAATATATTTCAGATATTATCTGCCAATTTTTTGACATATTTACATACATTTAACATATGTAATTAATTCAATACATGAAAGATAAAGAGAATATGAAAATATTACGAAAACTTTATCTTACCGGTCTTTTGCACCAGAAGCTAAAAGTAAATCTCTTTTATCATTTCCATTTAAGATATTCATATCCGAAGGACACCATGATAAACTGACTATTTCCTCGTTGTGACCTCTAAGTTTGTATAATATTGTTTTGCCTTGAACAATATGAATTAATCCACTTTTGGTACCTATCGCTACAAGATTCGATTCATGGGGGCATGATGCTAAACATGTAGGAATTAGCTTGCCTAGACATATTGTCTTCGACGTTTCATAAGACATGTAACAATACATTAGTAAACCCTCTGAATTTATTGCATATGCAAGATTGGTATCTTTGACCGACCAATCAACTCCTATAATTGATTTCCCCTGTATTAAAAAAAAGTTACATTAATAATTAAAAATTAATATTTTTTAAATAAGAGAATTCTTTATGTTAAATAAGATACTGTATGTACCAAACTTTAGATTTATTTTGCAACGTTTTACTTACATCCTTAAAGGAGAACTTGGAGACCAATTCTAATGTATCTACGTTCCAAATTTTGACATTATCGTCATCGCCACCAGAAATTAGCAATTCTGGACTGTTTGGACTATCGACATTAGGACAGAATGCTAATGATGTCACTTTACTCTTAAAAGCATCATTAATTAGCAAATACTGTAGACCACTTTGATCCTCCTTCTGTCTGGCAACAACAATAAAGTTCTTGGTGCCCCATGCCAAAGTTCCCTGTTTCGAGCAAACCAGGATATTACTCAGATACCAGTTCGGTGAGGGTGGCAATACAGTCTCATTCATCTTTATTGTATTTCCTGTAATCAAGAAAGAAAGAATAAGAATCCACGAAAGTTTATGACAAAATTTGGTAAAAAGAGACAGCAATCCTTATAAAATATCACAATAAAATTGTATAGATTTATTTTTTATATAAGTTTTAATGCTTTGCAAAACAATTCCTATAAAATATATTACAATCAAATTTTATATAAATTTATTCATATTTTATATTAATTTTAAAGAGATGCAGAACAATTCTTATAAAATATTACAATAGGGTTTTTTTATATAAATTTTAAAGAGAACAATTTCCTATATAATGTCCTATATAAATGAGAGAAAGAGAATAATTTCTATAACAGAGAGGTTAGTTTCTGACGACGAAGAATCCTCTTTTCCATTGTCAGAAAAAAATATAAAATAATAAACTAATAATAATATAAAAATTATTACATCAACAAATAAAATTGTAAATTATTTCTTAAAATTGTTCTCATTGTTTACATTCAAATCCATTACGGATTGAAGGTTAACCGGTGACTCGCAGATACATTATTAACAGTATTTATAATTGTTTCTCAGTTCGTTATCAAATCAATGATAGAGAGGACGGAGAAAAATAGCGTAACTCCCAAAAATTACCTCGTCAAATGCGCAATATTTAATTAATCCACAAGTGTCGGCTTTCGCTGTTCACCATCAAACACGTGTCTGACACGTTTTTGAGCGCACTAAATTCGAAATATCGCGCATATGTATATATCCTTGAGAAAGAAGAAAAGTCGTTTTTTCATTCCGAAGAGTGTGTGTAGTGTGTGCGCGCGCTTTTTATATACAGGGTGTCCGCGCGGTAACTAACGGACCAACGATTACAAATGGATTCTTTGGTCAATCATTTTTTACAACTTTCCAATATTTGTCATTATGTATCTTTATAACTATAAGCCTCAAATTAAAATTTTATTATAGTAAACTCTACCTGAAATTAACTGAGGAATGTATAATTATGTTAGACTTTTAACTCCAAAACGTTTAGTTTTCAAAGAACCTATTTTTTTCAATCGATTTTGTAACTCGAAAATTATTGACTTCTCAACATTTTTGCTAAGAAAAAATCGTCTCCAAATTGGCCAGAGAATCCACCCTTAATCATTGGTCCGTTAGTTACCGGACACCCTGTATATATATATATATATATATATGTATGCGTGATATAAGGTCACAAATAAATTATTCAAACCGCCTTCAAACAAAAATATATATATACATACGTCAAAAACGCAACGTTATATAGAGATAAATTTTTAATATTTTTATTATTTTTTTTAATTTTTAATTTTTTATTATTGTATTAATATTTTTATTATTATAGAAGAACGTATATATTTTTCAAATAATTCTATAAATTATTTTGATATATTTATTATATAATATATTCTAATATATATATATATATATAACCAATATTTATTTATATATATATAAATTGTTATAAATTAATTATAATATATATATATATATATATATATATATATATTTGCTATATTATTCTTTCTGATAATTATTTTATTTTCTTATAAAAAATTATATATATATATATTATATAATTTAATACATACCCAGATATAGTACAAGGTATTCGAAAAGAATTCATTTGTATGTCAAATCACCAATTTTGAGTTTTTTTTCAAATACATATACAATTTATTTTATTGATATGAATTTTATATGTATTTGAAAAAGGATTCAAAATTCTTTTTGAGTACCTTGTGCTATCTGGGTATATATATATATATATATATATATATATACATATATATTTATTAAAATTTAGATATATATATATATATATATATATTAAAATTTAAAAATGAAAAGATTTATTGAAAATTTGACAGGAAATTAAATGTAAAATAAAAGATAAACAAACATTGCGCGTTACTTATTTATTTTTAATTATATAATTGCTTATAAAAATGTAATATTAAGTTGATGTGTGGATTTTTCTTATAATTAAAAAAAATTTCCTTTACAAACTTCATTTTATAGTTTTCTTAATAAAAGAAATTATTAAAAATTTTATTTCAAAATTAACGTTTTTATAAAAAAATTATATATATTTGATTATATATAATAAAATATATTTGATATTTGATAAAATAAGCCACATAATTCAATTTTTCAATTATTTTATTTTAATTTCTGTAAAAGTTTTCGAAATTATTTGACATGTAAAAAGCACAAAAAGCTTATCTCCACGAGAGATAAAGGATTCCCGGAATAAATTTGTAACAAATATGAGTTTAGTTAATTTAGTGATAAAAAATACATAGTATTTTAGATTTGCGCGCCTCCTTTGTTTTATTACGACACAGTCTGTCAAATCCATATATATATATATATATATATATATATATATATATATGTGCACATATATATTTTTTGCATTGATTGCGTGACTATAATAACGCGATAGTGCGTTTTCCGTTCTCGTCTTTTTTTCTACTTCCATGTATAGGTTGATAAAAAAATCATAAAAGAGAAACGCGACGATTCATATATATATATATATATATATATATATATATATATATATATATGTATATATATATACTAGTAATAAAAATAACGTCCGGGAAGAGCAGATTGACATATCCATTTCGTTCTCTTGCATATTCTGTTTTTTTTTCAGAATTTCGGACAATTCTTGCGTTGGTGGTTTTTTGCACCGTTTATTGACTCGTTCGTTGACATAATGAGGTTGATTACGATTACTGAGGTCGTGTTGTTGATGACATTTTACGGTCTTTCCGGTGCGATGACAGCTGAACCGAGCACGTTTATGGCAGAGGAAATATGGACCACCTGGAAGCATCATCAGGAATATGACAAAGAATTCGACAATGTCAGTCTCAACACGGTAAGTTTTGTGTAATAATGCTATATGAACGAGGATTAAAATTCTTGGTCATTTCAATTAGTCACTTCCACATTCCACATCATCTTCTTCTTCTTTCCTTTATTGGCAAAGGAGCGCATTAATTTTGGTGTGCAATTCACGCTGCTAGATTATCTTCAAAGTATAGTTGGAGCTCACAGCATTCCACATCAATATGCTGTCAGGGTCAGGGTTGCGTTCTAAAAGTTCACTTTTCAGAGCAAAGTGTTCGACAATACGATAAAATTTATTAAAACGTTTGATTGACCAATCAGCAACGAAAGCAACGATATAGTATCTTTTTTCTGATTGGTCAATCGAAATAGAATGATAACAGAAGATGAGACGTTATTAATTAAGCTAATTAAGTATATAAGAATATTTGATTGTGATTAGTCAAATTTTTTTTGGAATAATGCAAAATATGATCAAAAACAATAATATTCATATTTTTTCTTAAATTTGTTAAATTTAAATTTCTGTTTCTTAAATTTAATATTTTAATTTTGATATAATAAAATAAAATAAAATAAAATAAATTAAATTTTATTAATTCTTAAATTTAAATTTCTGTTTCTTAAATTTAATATTTTAATTTCGATTTAAATATGTATATTTATATATTGTTAATATTAATGTCATTTGCCTTTAATTGTCATTAAATATAATCTCTTTTCTAACTAAAACAATATACAATGTAAATAAAAATATTCCAGATAATTAATTTAAAATAATGTAGAAAATGGTTCTATTATTTAGAAAATAAATTTGTACGAATTTTATCGCATAAATTATATTATATTTAGATATTCAATATATATATTATAAATTAAACTTCGGCTCGTATACAATTAAAATATGTGATACAATAAAAGGCCAACTTAACGAGCTTATAAGATATTAATTAAAAAAATCTTTTATTATTTTACGTCATAATATAACGTTACAAAAGATAAACGTTTCGACTGTACGACAGTCTTTTTCAATATCATTATCTCTATGCTAATATGTCAAAGAATTAAATCATTTAGTCATATCGAACTTATTATAAATACAACATTTATGGAATTATAATGTGAAGAACGCAGTACAAAATTCATGTTTTGTTGGCTTGAGTTAAAGCGTCAGATTTCTGTATTTCATGCTGTTATATTATGTAGCAACGCTGTGAACCAATTAATATATCAGCTCAAATATTACATATAAGATTTTATTTATTAAAACATTTATTAAAACACTATTTATTAAAAATCTAATATGTAATATTTGAGCTGATATATTAATTGGTTCACAGCGTTGCTACATAATATAACAGCATGAAATACAAAAATCTGACGCTTTAACTCAAGCCAACGAAACATGAATTTTGTACTGCGTTCTTCACATTATAATTCCATAAATATTGTATTTATAATAAGTTTGATATGACTAAATGATTTAATTCTTTGACGTATTAGCATAGAGATAATGATATTGAAAAAGACTGTCGTACAGTCGAAACGTTTATCTTTTGTAACATTATATTATGACGTAAAATAATAAAAAATTTTTTAAATTAATATCTTATAAGCTCGTTAAGTTGGCCTTTTATTGTATCACATATTTTAGATTTTCAGTTTTGAGAACGCCTTTTTTATCGATTCTTTTTTCCAGCTGGAAATGATAAGGAGAGCGGGTTATCCCGCAGAAGCTCATGTTGTAACGACGGAGGATGGTTATCTTTTGACGTTACATCGTATCCCAGGTAGCAACAATTCTTTACCAATATTACTGCAACACGGTCTTTTATGCAGCTCCGCTGACTGGGTCTTTCTTGGCAAAGGCAAAGCACTTGGTATACAATATTTATTAGATTTTCAAATCATATCTTTAAAATAAACTGACAAGTGTGGACTATAGTATGTTATTGTCTCAATGAAAATTGATTTTATTTGATTTATTTGAAATTTAATTTTCCACTAAAAATTAATTTTATTTGATTTATTTTGAAAATTAATTTTTATGTGACATTAATTTATTCTGCGCGGAATAAAATTTTTTTTGATGTTTTATCAAAATTAATTAAATTGTAATTAAATTGTAATTAATTAAATTTTAATTTAAAATTTATTTTATTTTAATAAATACTAATAAAAGTTAGTTTTCATTAAAATCGATGCACTAATCATTCGGGTTATTAGTGAAAATTTAAATTGTATTTTAAATTTGAGATTTCTCTTAATTTCGTAATTGTCATATCTTCGATGTTCTGTTCGATAAATGATTAAGAAAATATTCTCAAATTTAAATAGCAAACATACCGGAAAAAAACTTTTCCGCAATTTTTTATTTTAATTGTAACGCAAATTTTAATGCATCGTTTATTTGTTAAATATTAAAATTAATTATATATGTATAATATACTTATATATATACATATATATATATAAGTATATTATTTTTATTTAATATATTATTTAATTTAGAATGAGTGCATTAATAAGTCAGATTGCAATCTAAATTTATTATTTTTATTCTAATAAAAAATTATTACCAATAAATGAATAAATATATATACAATATGTATGAGATATATATATATATATATATATATATATATAAGAAGCTACAAGTTTTATGTAATAAATTTTGCGAACGATGTATTTTTGCATTGTAGCTTACTTATTGGCGGATCAAGGTTACGATGTCTGGTTAGGCAATTATCGTGGTAATACCTACTCAAGGGCGCATATTCACCTGTCTCCGTCAAACTTGACATTTTGGGACTTTAGGTATAATCATAAAATAAAAATAATGATGTTTTAAAAATGATAAAGTTATATAAAGTCAGATTTAATAGACGTCAAAAATATAAAGATATGTAGATAGACATATTATATTTACTTATATAATGATGTGTTTATATTTAAAAAATTTGTTTAAATATATATATATATATACACAATGTGTGTATTTATATATGTCTACATGTATGTGTATGTATGAAATATTTACATATACAATGTTATTTTAAACGGCATTTATTTAGAGATATTCTCCATATGTGTTATAATATAAATATGTAAAGTATCTTGCAGAGTTAGGATATATAGACTGGTACAACTATTATTTTGTCAAAATTATGTTTTTTAATATATATATATATATATATATATATATATAAATTATTAAAGTTTTTACACAAGGATTGAGAAAGAGCAAATATATTGTATTGACATATTAAACAATACGAAATTTCTATAATAATATGTTTTCAGAAATTTTGTCAAAAAAAGCTATTTCTTGTCGACAAACAATTAGTTAATTTTTTATGCAGGATATTTTATATATTGTATGTGTATATATACATTGTTTCCATACATTTTGTACATATACATATATTTCTATTGTATGTATTATTATTTATAACGATTATATTTATTATACAATATATATATTTTATTTTCTTATTTCGTTTAATCTAATCAAACATAATTATACATGCGAAGCATAATGTTATATTATTCTTTGATAATATAATCTCAAAAATTGCAACGTATGCATGAAAATTATTATTGCAACGTATGCATAAAAATATATTAATTAATTATGCAATGCATAAAAATTCAATATTTAAATCTTTAACAGAAAATGCGAACAAAAAAGTAGAATTTTCTACAAAGGATTCTTTGTAATTAAATATCTATGCTTTCATATTAGATTTTCGTGCAAGACTCTATACTCCGTACACATATCCATCACGCTGCGTGGCTCGCGCGAAACTGATTCTCGCGCGAGCCAGTTCGAGATATCGCGAGCGCGTGACCGCTGGTCACGTGACTACTAGTCATGTGACCGATGATTTCCGCGCTCGCGGTACCTCGCTGACCTCGCATGAGTATCAGTCTCACGCGAAACGCGCAGCGTGAAGGATGTGTGGAGTTTAGTCTCGCGCGAGTCTAATTAAATATTGAATTTTTATGCATTAATAATTATAATTAATTAATATATTTTTTATGCATTGATTGCCATAATAATTTTTGCATGCAATTTTTGAGATTTTATTATCAAAGAAATAATATAACTTTGTTTTATGTGTGTAATTATTTATATTTGTTTAGATTAAACGAAACAAATAATATATGTATATATACAATATGCATTGAATTTTTCATCAGTTTTCACGAAATGGGTATCTATGATTTACCCGCAATGATCAAATTTATCACGACCATGAGAATGCAACCACTGCACACGTACATTGGTCATTCGATGGGAACAACGGGTTTTTATATAATGGCGTCAGAAAGTTCGGAAATTGCTGAAAAGGTACGAATGATGATCAGCTTAGCACCAGCGGTCTTTATAAGCCATATGAAAAGTCCGATAAAATATTTGTATCCTTTCTGGAGAGAATATAAGGTAAAGTAAAACACATATTATCCCATTTTAATTATCTAAAATATTGAAATATGTCGAAATATGTCAAAAAATATCGAAGATGAAAAAATATTTAGAAAAATTGTAAGATTTCGAGGGAGACATCTTTTTTCCATATTATAAATATCTTCCATATTTTTCGACATATTTAGCTGGGGCAATTAAAATCGGATACTCTATTCCGTACAATTTCTTTATTTTTTTTCTGCAATAAAAGTAAGATTTTTTTAGTTTTTTCTATTACTAAATTTGTAAATATAACTAAAAATTATTTTTTTGTTTTCATAATTTTATACAGTCTTTTATTGTGACATGATGCGCTTATTTATCAGTTTAATTAAAATTTAATATGCAAAACAAATTAAAACAATTTAATTGATACTGTTAAATTATCTTAATTATTTAAAATTAATTATCTCGATTTATTTAAAAATGTTTAAAAAGATTATTTATTTATTTTCGTAAAAATTTCGCTAAAAAAACTTAAACAAGAGAAGAATTATGAAGCAACTTAAATTACAAATAAATGATTTCTGATTTCAGAATATTATGCAATCATTCTTTCACGACGAATTACTACCGCAAAACAATTTACTGAAATTTTTAACGACATATGTCTGCAATCAAAATGTTATCGAGGAGAAGATCTGTGCCGACCTACTGTTTATGGTCTGCGGTTTCGATCGCGAGCAGTTCAATTACGTGAGTATAGTAATTCTCGATTAATGATAAGTACAATTCTGGTAGAAACTTTGATTCATTTTATAATACGCTTTGGATTTTTGTAGGAATAATTTTGATAAAATGGCCATTTTTAAAATACAAAAAAACATTTTTATTTTTGTTGTTTTTAAATAATATTTGACACATATTACTTCATTGAAGATTAAAATACGTATAATACTACTGAAATTAAACAATAAATACTTAATAGAAATTTTATATTGTCAAAACATGAGCATTGGCCATATTTCTACAGTTTTAACTTATAATTTTACATATTTCTTATTTTTAGTTTTTTTTATTTTTATACATTAAAAACATATAAATGAATACATTTTTTAATATAAAATAAAAACTTTATTAAAAATTTAATTTTAGATTTAATCTTTTAGATTGATTTTTTAACTAAAAATAATCTTTGAAACACTCTTTGAAACAAAACAGAAATAATATTTTAATAATAAATATTTTAATTTTAATAATGAGAGTGAGCCATTCTACCCATATTGTGAAGAAAAGATGACTATAGTATTTATAAAAAATAGTGAAAACAGAAATAAAAATTATGGGTTACATTATTAATATACCTTCATTATGTCTAACATCAATTATGACAGCTCAATTGTAATTTATTCTACGTTACAACATTTTTTAATAGGGATATAAAAAACGTTGATGGTATCAAAAACATGCTATAATATTTACAATATTGTTATTATTGTTAATAGTATACGGACATAAACATTGAAAAAATTATTAAATTAATAAATATTTATTTCAATATAGCCTTCTAAATCATTTATTTGATACAAATAAATATTTTTCTCTTTTAAAAAAAATTTTCTTATATCAAATAAATATTTTTTTACATCAAATAAATATTATTAGATTCAAATAAATGATATATATATATATATATATATATATATATATAATTTATTTGAATCTAATAATATTTATTTGATGTGAAAAAATATTTATTTGATATAAGAAAATCTTTTTTAAAAGAGAAAAATATTTATTTGTATCAAATAAATGAATACATTTTTTAATATAAAATAAAAACTTTTATTAAAAAATTTAATTTTAGTAATATGAACTAAATATGATTTTAGCAATATGAACTAAATATTTATTCGAATTCTATACATTTTTTTCAGTGTAGTGTAAATATCGATTATCTTTGAAAATAATAAAAAAACGCACCATTTAGCGATTATTAGAAAAATTGCAGGTTGTCGCCATCATACTCGAGTTCACCCTATATGTCCTATTGTTTCTTGTTTAGACTCTGATACCCTTCATTCTGGGTCACGATCCGGCCGGCACCTCTTCTAGGACACTTCTACATTTCGTTCAGGAATATCATTCAGGAAAGTTTCGTCAATACGATTACGGTTGGATGAAAAATCTCCTGAAATATAAGTCCCTGGATCCTCCGGACTATAAACTGGCAAGTATTAAGTTGCCAATCGCGTTGTTCTACGGCCCTGGCGATTGGTTGGTTAATGTGAAGGTAAATATAATGAAAGAACGCATGTTAGATTAAATATGTACATATTGTCAATGAATAGGTATTCGAAGCAATTTTAAATGTCAAAAATGGGTCGAAACTTCTCTTTGTTCAAAGCGAAATACATACAAAGGTTCTTATTTGTATTCTGAAGTCTTCCAGATAGCAACAGTAATTAATATTATGACATCATTTTGACGTCAAAATGATTACTTTGACTATCTGAGCTGCTAAAATATGATATGGGAAAGAATGTTCAGCGTCCAACAGTTGTTATAAAGAAATTGTTGCAGTACGCAATGTGTCAAAAACCCGCATTTGAGTACCCATACATTGACGAAGACGTGAAAAAGTAGCTATTGACAGAAGGATTAACAGAAATAAACTCACGGAAACATTTTTTTTTTCAAGGATGTGAAGAAGCTTTATTCAATATTACCCAATGTAATAGATGCGTATGCAGTGCCATGGTATAAATTCAATCATGGAGATTTTATTTGGGCCACGAATGCACCCGAACTCGTGTACAACAGAATCCTCAAACTCATGAAGCCGGAGGATCTAAATAATGTTACATTAATAGGATGATACTATATTGTCAATCAAAATGGAAAATAAATATTATATTAAATACAAAATTTGGATCCATTAAATAGATATTCAATTCAAATAATGGTTTAAATCATTAGATCCATAAAAATAAAGATTTATAATATAGTAGTATTTTATTTATCATTTATGATTAGTGTAAAAGCGAATTAGAGTAATACGCGCGTTTTAATCAATTCTTGTTTTATCGGATGGATATTATAAAGTGCTCGCTGCAATAGGATAAGTATAAATTACATATACAATATATAAATATAAGATGTAAATATAAGTATAAATGTATAAATGCGAAAAAATGTGTTAAGTGAATAAATATAATATCTTAATCCACTTTATGCATTTCAATACTTTATACTTACTATTGATCTATTGATGTATTTTTATTAATGTATTTTTTCAATAATTATTCGACTTTCTTCTGGAGAAAATTCTATTAGTTAATTTTATATATAATGAAATAGAATAATTATTTTTTTTTATTTAATAAGATATTATGTTATTTTTTGCATTCCTATTTATGAACTTCAAGAAGTTTTATTGTTTTCCCAAAAAGAAATATTTTTTTAACAGGAAGCAAATATGTCTTGTTCATTTTATATGCTTTGCATTTTAGGTATGTGATAGAATAGATATTAGTGAAAGAAGAGAATTAAGAACACGATTTCAAGATCTATAGACTTCTTAACATTTATTTTAATTAATTTATTTGAATTACATTAATTTTTTTAATTTCGATGACGTATAGATCAGGGTAGTCTTTGCAATGACTACCATTATTTTTGAAATATTTACGATAATTTGACAAAAAAATTATGAACAAAAATATATTTTTATAAACTTTACTTTAGAATAATCAAAAATTTACACATATAATTTGTAACAACACATTTGATGATTTTTAATAAATGTAAAACCGTTAATATATTTTTCTGCTTGCATGTTTTACTTTATAGTTCATGTGAGCTAATAGGACTTGTTATAATTTATATTGTATTTTCTGAAATATATTCTCAAACTTTTTGACGAACCTTCTTGATACAGATAAATTATATCTCGTCTGCTTTTAACTATTTAACTGTTCAGACTGTTCTAATAAAGTATTATATGTAAAAATCGATTATGATTAACATTACTTAATTTGTGAACAAGTGAACAAACTTTATCGAAAATAACTTTGGAATTCGGTATGTAAACTCGTTCCTCTCTGAATACCTTTTCCTCAAGTTTCAGTTTATTGATCTCCTCCTCAATTTTCTCATACACATCATTTTCATCGGCAGTATTGGAAGTCACTGTAATATTTAAAATGTAAATTATATGTAAAAAATAAAAAAATTTTAAATTGGAACAAATCAACGCTATATGTAATTATTAGCAAATCAATAATTATATATATGCAATTAATACGCATATGCTATATGAATTTATAACAAATTACAAAATTAAAAAGAAAAACTAACAAAAGATATTCAAAACTTGGTTCTCCAGGTGAATAAGTCTACAAATTCGATCTTGATGAGTGAAAGCCGCTTTATTTATGACAGCGCTAAGCAAATTCAATAATAAATCCACAAATTGTGTTTCTTCCTCGACTAACAACTTGTCCAAATAATCAAGCATTCAATCCAAAATACCGATTTAATATTTTATAAATTTAGAAATAATTTAGACATAGTTATATAATTTTATTTTATAATTTATATTTTACAATTCATATTTTATAATTCATATTTTATAATTTATATTTTATATTTTATAATTTATATTTTATAATTTATATTTTATATCTTATATTTTATATTTTGTAATTTATATTTTATAATTTATATTTTATTATTCATATTTTATAAGTTACGTTTGATAATTTGTAAATAAATTCTATATCTATATATGTTTAATCTAAATTTACCTGAATTTGTTGAAAAATTCGCGATAAGGGAACGCGCTTTCGACCAGTCTGATTCGACAAGAGCACGTATCATCGCGTCCACAATCAAAGATATTCCATATTCTTCATCACCGTTTAGAAATGCTAATTGAGACGCTACCTCCAAATAATGTATGTCTTTCCGGCGAGCAAGAATTTTTGCCGCCTTTTTGTACCGTTTTCAACTCTGCATAACTATAATATATGCAATATTAAATTTACAATAATAATTTTTTAATTACATAGGCTATGTAAAACAATATTATTATGTGCCGCACAAATTGCATAAGTAATTATTGTTAATTACGAAATACATTATATATTATATGTATAGAGATATTTATATATGTAATATATATACATTAATGTATCAAATAAATTTTATATATTATATATACATTTTATATTATATAGAATATACATTTATAGATATTTATTGTAGATTTATATGCATACATACATACACATATATACTATAATATATATATATATATATATATATATATATATATATATATATAATAATTGTTAGATAAAATTAATAAATTTATATATAATATATATAACAAACGTAAAATTATTTACTATTATATATAATTTTATTTACTAAATAATATATAAAAATTTATAATAATTATCAATAATTATATAAAATTAATTATTTTACCAATGAGCAGCTTGCTCCATTTGATCATTCAAAAGACACCATTCCGACCATAATTCTAATATGTTTTCTAAAACCGGATCAGTGATGTCCAATTTGTATCTCGCAAGCACGTAAGCCTCTTTAAACATATTAGCATTTAAAAATGCTTCTATGGCTTCGTGAATTTTGTGTAGACAGAGTAAATATGACACTGCTTTCTTCACATTGCCTTGCTCTATTAATTGGTACAAATATGTTTCACACATTTCTTTCCACGTTCTGTAAAATTATATCAATATTTGTAATATTGAACAAATATCTTTTCTTAACTGCATATACAAAAAATGTTGGTATGTACTTCATAGAAACGCTCGACGCGAGCGATACTAAAAAATCATTTAATTTTTTATTTTTAGCCGCGCTCGCCAAATCGTTTTTCAAATTGTTACACCACATATTCATCTCAGTAATGGCATTTGAACTATCTTGAATTAATTCTGTAAACAAATAATTAGTAATTATTAAGTAATAATTAGTAATTAATTAGTAAATATATATTATAAATAAAAAATTTTATAATATATATATGACATACATATATGTATAACTCAATGTTTACGTTTATGAGCAACAAGTTTTAAAAGATGCTTTTTTGAGAATAACGATATGTTTGCAATATTATCATCTTCTTCGTATTGTTCTTGTTCCAATTTTATATCGTTTTTGATAAAATTTAAAATCTTAGTTCCATCGTTTATTAATTTATCATATCCATTAAAATATAAATTTTCCTTTTTTTCCTTTAGCAATACTGTTTAAAAATCTGCAATCGAAAATCTCGATGTAATTATACATTGTAAATTATAAGTTAAGAAATTATACTAATTATGCTCATATTATATACGTCAGATTGACTATTCAATGATTTGAATTGACCGAATTACTCTGCTGTTTATCCGTTTGATTTTGTGACAAATTGTTTAGTTTCAAATTCTTCTTCACGATTTTAATATCGGAGAGATGCTTCGGCGATTGCGCCGGTAAAGTATAATTCCACAAGTGTAACATAAAGTCCGACTAGCCGGTCATTATAATTTGTGGTTTCAGGAGACTCCACATGCAATATAACACCGGTCCATTGTGACCCATATATGTGCTCATCAGTTCCTGTTTTTCAACATTCCAAACCTAAAAAGAATATTTGAAAACATTTATATAATTATGTATGTACATATCTGTGTACATTTATTATTTTATATTAGAAATAATTTTTAGAATTTAATATGTGATATTTGGAATACGTATATCATTTAACATATGAAAATTCTAAATTTTAAGAAATTTAATAAAATTAAACTTATTTAAATTTAATAAATGACGTATAATGAAGCACAAATTAATTATACAATAGTAAATGTGAGTATATTAAAATTATCATATAATTTGTACGCTATATATTTTACCTGTGCAACATGATCGTCACCACCAGAAACTAAGTGTTCGCTTAATGATAAATTAATAAACGATGGAATTAAGATTTTAACTTTATCAAAAACGATATAAAATTGGAACAAAAACAATATGAAGAAGATGATAATATTGCAAACATATCGCTATTCTCAAAAAAGCATCTTTTAAAACTTGTTGCTTATGAAGTATGGACTCCAAGCTAGACACACCACTTTATTGTTGTGTCCATTTAACATTGTTATCATCTTGTGGCGTTTGCACTCTTTTTTAGTGTCTTCTTCCTCGACACAATCCGGTGTAAGCATTCTTTCCAGGTCCTTTATCAATTCTGACATATCAAAAATTACTATAGTCCAATCGGAGGCAACTGTCAAGTAATTGGCAGCTGGCGACTTCCATTTATCTGTCGCCGTACTTTCGGGATGCCAAGCCAAACAATTCACCATATCAAAAATTATTATAGTCCAATCGGAGGCAACTGTCAAGTAATTGGCAGCTGGCGACTTCCATTTATCTGTCGCCGTACTTTCGGGATGCCAAGCCAAACAATTCACCATATATCTTAAGATATCTATCGCATATTGTTTCGTCAGCTTCTGATCATAAAACATGATCGATCTGAAAGAACAAATATCCATGTATTTGATGCAATTATTTCATCATTTTTTAGAATAAATCTATGATTTATACCCATTTTCTAAACCAATCGCTAAGCACAAATTGGATTTCCAAGCAAATTCCGTGCATCCTTCCTTGATTATGGACATGGATTCTGAAATATAAATTGTAATAACAAAACAGAGAGTGTTATAAAATAGCGAGCTTTAACATCTTACCGTTATGTGGCGGGAATTTCTTGAACGCAACTAATTCCCCTTCCGCACAGGAGAATAAATAAAAATCCTCTTTAAGTTTAGCCCATTCAAGCTTATAAATAGTATTTCTATGATACTGCCTGTATAATGTAAATAATGGTGTATTATTTACGTTAAATATGCCAATGTGACCATCTCCAGTACCAAAAGCTACTTTGGATAATTTATCTCCAGGAAACAACGATACCTGATACAGTAGTCACTTGCATGATATTATTCGACAATTTTCATATTTCAAATTACTTTAAAAAAATAATAATTTTTACCGCTGTTATTTTTCCTTTTAGCATCTGCCATTGCAATATATCATTGAAAGATTTTTTGTTTTCATATTCAGGCAAATTCCACTGATGCAACATCGCGTCTCCAACGTGAAATGCAATAATTGAATCATTGTCGTCACAATCAGCTCCTTTGCAGTACATAAAGCCTTCTTGCGTAGGAATTTTATATTTCAGGCTCGCCGATTTCATATCATCGTCGTTTCGTTTGTAACATATAATCCAACCATCTTGCGCCGAAGTCCAAACCGCGAGTCTAAAATGTAATTAACACGGTGGGTTCAAAATTTTACATTACATATCACGTTGAGACACAATTTTTACTTACTTGGATTTTGCTCTCTCATTGTCGGATATTGCATCATTTTCGGGTACAGCGGTTATGGAACACAATTGGTTGCTGTGCAATTTATGGAAGAACTGATATGTACGTTTGGTTTTGTACGTAGATAGATCCCAGGACAGAAGTTCATTCCAAAGAGATGAAGTTAAAAACACTTTAGGCTCTACCCAACACATTGCAATCCAAATCGCACTATCGTGTTTGCGTCTATAAGGCTTCTGCTTGTGTGACCATTTTGGTATATTTATCACAGTCTCGCGTTTACCATCTCTACCAGCTCTCCAAATAAACACAGATCTAGAAAAAGAATGTTTGGCTATTAATTGCACCCTCATTTCAATATTTGAAAAGAAAATGATACGAAGATAGAGGTAATAATGTATTTTAGATGTTATCTGCCTATTTTTTGATATAATATTTACACCCAGATAGCCACAGTAATTATTATGACATCATGGGCATATATTTCCCATATGTAATTAATTCAATACATGAGATATAGAGGATGAAATTATTATTAAAAAAATTTATTTTACCGTAATTTTGCGCCAGAAGCTAAAAGTAAATCTCTCTTATTGTTTCCATTTAAGACATTCATATCTGAAGGGCACCATGATAAACTGACTATTTCTTTCTTGTGACTATTTATATGTCGATATAAAACTAATTAATCGGTGAGCCGTAGATGCATTTTAAATCGTATAATAACTTTGTAATCCGATGACAGAAAAGATAAGAAAAATTAGCATAAATTCCAAAAATTACCTTATAATATTTAATACATCAACGGCGAGTGTCGGTTTTCACTGTTCACTGTCGTCCATGTAACGTACGTCTGAAACAACTTTATAGGCGTTAAATTCGAGATACGTGTCGGTAACCTTGAGAAACCTTCTATTTATTATTTTGACGTGTGTGTATCTATACGGGGTGTCCGGTAACTAACGGACCAACGATTACAAGTGGATTCTTTGGTCAATTTGGGAACAATTTTTCCTCAGCAAAAATGTTGAAAAAGGTCATCATTTTTTACAACTTTTTAATATTTGTCATTATGTATCTTTATAACTAAGCCTCAAATTAAAATTTTATTATAGTAAACTCTACCTGAAATTAACTGAAGAATGTAATTATGTTAGACTTTTAACTCCAAAACGTTTAGTTTTCAAAAAACCCATTTTTTTCAATCGCTTATAACTCAAAAATTATTGTCTTTTCAACATTTTTGCTAAGGAAAAATCGTCTCCAAATTGGCCAGAGAATCCGCCCTTAATCATTGGTCCATTAGTTACCGGACACCCTGTATATTATTTATATCTACATTGTGTATCGAAGAAGAGTACGAGATAAAATCTAAGGAAGATAGCGATATAAACTCAACAAATATGTGCGTGACATGCCTTCATACAAAAATATACGTAAAACGCAACATTAGGGATAGACAACTTCTTATTATTATAATTTTTATTAGATCTTTATTATTCATTTTAAAGAAAACGTATTTTTGATTAATTAAATTATTATGATATTTAACATTTTAACTAACATTTGTATACATGTTAATATCATGTATAAATTAATTATAATTAGTCACTGTTCTTTTTGACAATTTGGTTTTTTCATTATATATTACATTATCTTGCATTCAAATTTTAAAATAAAAAGCAATTCTGTGACTATCGAAGATAAAAGACAGAAAATTAAATGCAAAACAAGAGATTTACAAAATGTGTGCGTGTAACATGTATTGATGAATCGTGTTAAATTAATTTAAATTTTTCAAGTTGACAATATGATATTTTTAAAATTTATATAGATTTAATTATCAATAATTTTCCAATAATAAACAGCGAATACAATACAAATAATATTTATTTATTAATTATTATTTCTATTGTTGACGTAACATTATTTCATAGATGTAACATTATTTAAATTCTCGTTCCTCATAATCTTGATAGCTCTTTCATATACGAGTTTTGGAGTATTTTTGGCCCATATAAAATCGACGTGATTGAATTTGTGCCATGGTACTTCATATAAGTCGATTACGTTGGGTAATGTGCGATATAGTTTTTTCATATTCTTGAAAAAAATGATCTTGTGAATTATCAGAAAATTTTTATATTTCTACACAGACACACACAGTAGAAAAATTTGTGTTTTGTGGTTAAAAACAGTCCTCGGTAAAATGTTTGTGTTAATTATTTAATACATTCATGTGCGAATTTAACATATTGTTTTAACATATTAAAGTTTTGCATTTAATTTGTGTTAAAAAATTAACACAGTATTTGTGTCTCCATTTAACATATCCATATCATGTTAAATTAACACAAAAATTTCTGTGAACATGTGATATCTGTTAAATTTAACACAAATTTTACAACTGTGTACAAACAAGAAAATCTTATTTTTCTTAAATTATTAATTTTCTCTCTCTTTCTTTCTGCTATACATTTTATTAACAAGTAGTTCTTCGTTACTTACCACGCTGTTAACTAGCAAGTCTCCAGGAGCATAAAACAATGCGATAGGTAATGTGGTATTTGCTAGATTATAATCCGGGGGTTCCGACGAATTGTATATCAACAGATTTTTCTCGCAACCGTAATCGTATCGACGAAAATTGCTTGCCTGGCTTAACTGAATGTAATGTAGAATAGTTTTAATCGAGGTGCCGGCCGGATCGACGCCCAGGATTACAGGCAGAAGAGTCTGAATAGAGAACAAGGACATATAGACAAATATAAGAGTTTTAACAAGGCTCTGTAATATAAATATAAATTTAACGTATAAGACGGGCAACAAGAGCCAAATCGCGGATGACAATGCGTTATCCTAACGAAACTAAATAATTTTTCGTTAGAATTAAATACCGGTGCACAAGGCACCAAATTTTTACTTGGACACGGCCAAGATTTTAAATATGAAATAATCTCATATTTTGAGATTTAATTTCAATACCCCTTTAACCCCCCTACGGAAAATAAATAAATGAATGCAAGAGAAAAATATAGATCCGAAAATCGCTGAATCGGGAATCGAACCCGAGACCTTTCGCTTGCCGGGCGACTGCTCTTCCAGCTGAGCTATTCAGATCCTTTCGATTCTATACTTTTCTCTGTTATATATATTAATGTTGGTAAACAAACGCATTTTTTAAGCCAGCGTGTATCAAATATAAGAGTTTTAACAAGGCTCTGTAATATAAATATAAATTTAACGTATAAGACGGGCAACAAGAGCCAAATCGCGGATGACAATGCGTTATCCTAACGAAACTAAATAATTTTTCGTTAGAATTAAATACCGGTGCACAAGGCACCAAATTTTTACTTGGACACGGCCAAGATTTTAAATATGAAATAATCTCATATTTTGAGATTTAATTTCAATACCCCTTTAACCCCCCTACGGAAAATAAATAAATGAATGCAAGAGAAAAATATAGATCCGAAAATCGCTGAATCGGGAATCGAACCCGAGACCTTTCGCTTGCCGGGCGACTGCTCTTCCAGCTGAGCTATTCAGATCCTTTCGATTCTATACTTTTCTCTGTTATATATATTAATGTTGGTAAACAAACGCATTTTTTAAGCCAGCGTGTATCAAATATAAGAGTTTTAACAAGGCTCTGTAATATAAATATAAATTTAACGTATAAGACGGGCAACAAGAGCCAAATCGCGGATGACAATGCGTTATCCTAACGAAACTAAATAATTTTTCGTTAGAATTAAATACCGGTGCACAAGGCACCAAATTTTTACTTGGACACGGCCAAGATTTTAAATATGAAATAATCTCATATTTTGAGATTTAATTTCAATACCCCTTTAACCCCCCTACGGAAAATAAATAAATGAATGCAAGAGAAAAATATAGATCCGAAAATCGCTGAATCGGGAATCGATTATATTTTATATTTGATACACGCTGGCTTAAAAAATGCGTTTGTTTACCAACATTAATATATATAACAGAGAAAAGTATAGAATCGAAAGGATCTGAATAGCTCAGCTGGAAGAGCAGTCGCCCGGCAAGCGAAAGGTCTCGGGTTCGATTCCCGATTCAGCGATTTTCGGATCTATATTTTTCTCTTGCATTCATTTATTTATTTTCCGTAGGGGGGTTAAAGGGGTATTGAAATTAAATCTCAAAAATATGAGATTATTTCATATTTAAAATCTTGGCCGTGTCCAAGTAAAATTTGGTGCCTTGTGCACCGGTATTTAATTCTAACGAAAAATTATTTAGTTTCGTTAGGATAAAGCATTGTCATCCGCGATTTGGCTCTTGTTGCCCGTCTTATACGTTAAATTTATATTTATATTACAGAGCCTTGTTAAAACTCTTATATTTGATACACGCTGGCTTAAAAAATGCGTTTGTTTACCAACATTAATATATATAACAGAGAAAAGTATAGAATCGAAAGGATCTGAATAGCTCAGCTGGAAGAGCAGTCGCCCGGCAAGCGAAAGGTCTCGGGTTCGATTCCCGATTCAGCGATTTTTCGGATCTATATTTTTCTCTTGCATTCATTTATTTATTTTCCGTAGGGGGGTTAAAGGGGTATTGAAATTAAATCTCAAAAATATGAGATTATTTCATATTTAAAATCTTGGCCGTGTCCAAGTAAAATTTGGTGCCTTGTGCACCGGTATTTAATTCTAACGAAAAATTATTTAGTTTCGTTAGGATAAAGCATTGTCATCCGCGATTTGGCTCTTGTTGCCCGTCTTATACGTTAAATTTATATTTATATTACAGAGCCTTGTTAAAACTCTTATATTTGATACACGCTGGCTTAAAAAATGCGTTTGTTTACCAACATTAATATATATAACAGAGAAAAGTATAGAATCGAAAGGATCTGAATAGCTCAGCTGGAAGAGCAGTCGCCCGGCAAGCGAAAGGTCTCGGGTTCGATTCCCGATTCAGCGATTTTCGGATCTATATTTTTCTCTTGCATTCATTTATTTATTTTCCGTAGGGGGGTTAAAGGGGTATTGAAATTAAATCTCAAAATATGAGATTATTTCATATTTAAAATCTTGGCCGTGTCCAAGTAAAAATTTGGTGCCTTGTGCACCGGTATTTAATTCTAACGAAAAATTATTTAGTTTCGTTAGGATAACGCATTGTCATCCGCGATTTGGCTCTTGTTGCCCGTCTTATACGTTAAATTTATATTTATATTACAGAGCCTTGTTAAAACTCTTATATTTGATACACGCTGGCTTAAAAAATGCGTTTGTTTACCAACATTAATATATATAACAGAGAAAAGTATAGAATCGAAAGGATCTGAATAGCTCAGCTGGAAGAGCAGTCGCCCGGCAAGCGAAAGGTCTCGGGTTCGATTCCCGATTCAGCGATTTTCGGATCTATATTTTTCTCTTGCATTCATTTATTTATTTTCCGTAGGGGGGTTAAAGGGGTATTGAAATTAAATCTCAAAATATGAGATTATTTCATATTTAAAATCTTGGCCGTGTCCAAGTAAAAATTTGGTGCCTTGTGCACCGGTATTTAATTCTAACGAAAAATTATTTAGTTTCGTTAGGATAAGCATTGTCATCCGCGATTTGGCTCTTGTTGCCCGTCTTATACGTTAAATTTATATTTATATTACAGAGCCTTGTTAAAACTCTTATATTTGATACACGCTGGCTTAAAAAATGCGTTTGTTTACCAACATTAATATATATAACAGAGAAAAGTATAGAATCGAAAGGATCTGAATAGCTCAGCTGGAAGAGCAGTCGCCCGGCAAGCGAAAGGTCTCGGGTTCGATTCCCGATTCAGCGATTTTCGGATCTATTTTTTTCTCTTGCATTCATTTATTTATTTTCCGTAGGGGGGTTAAAGGGGTATTGAAATTAAATCTCAAAATATGAGATTATTTCATATTTAAAATCTTGGCCGTGTCCAAGTAAAAATTTGGTGCCTTGTGCACCGGTATTTAATTCTAACGAAAAATTATTTAGTTTCGTTAGGATAACGCATTGTCATCCGCGATTTGGCTCTTGTTGCCCGTCTTATACGTTAAATTTATATTTATATTACAGAGCCTTGTTAAAACTCTTATATTTGATACACGCTGGCTTAAAAAATGCGTTTGTTTACCAACATTAATATATATAACAGAGAAAAGTATAGAATCGAAAGGATCTGAATAGCTCAGCTGGAAGAGCAGTCGCCCGGCAAGCGAAAGGTCTCGGGTTCGATTCCCGATTCAGCGATTTTCGGATCTATATTTTTCTCTTGCATTCATTTATTTATTTTCCGTAGGGGGGTTAAAGGGGTATTGAAATTAAATCTCAAAATATGAGATTATTTCATATTTAAAATCTTGGCCGTGTCCAAGTAAAAATTTGGTGCCTTGTGCACCGGTATTTAATTCTAACGAAAAATTATTTAGTTTCGTTAGGATAACGCATTGTCATCCGCGATTTGGCTCTTGTTGCCCGTCTTATACGTTAAATTTATATTTATATTACAGAGCCTTGTTAAAACTCTTATATTTGATACACGCTGGCTTAAAAAATGCGTTTGTTTACCAACATTAATATATATAACAGAGAAAAGTATAGAATCGAAAGGATCTGAATAGCTCAGCTGGAAGAGCAGTCGCCCGGCAAGCGAAAGGTCTCGGGTTCGATTCCCGATTCAGCGATTTTCGGATCTATATTTTTCTCTTGCATTCATTTATTTATTTTCCGTAGGGGGGTTAAAGGGGTATTGAAATTAAATCTCAAAATATGAGATTATTTCATATTTAAAATCTTGGCCGTGTCCAAGTAAAAATTTGGTGCCTTGTGCACCGGTATTTAATTCTAACGAAAAATTATTTAGTTTCGTTAGGATAAAGCATTGTCATCCGCGATTTGGCTCTTGTTGCCCGTCTTATACGTTAAATTTATATTTATATTACAGAGCCTTGTTAAAACTCTTATATTTGATACACGCTGGCTTAAAAAATGCGTTTGTTTACCAACATTAATATATATAACAGAGAAAAGTATAGAATCGAAAGGATCTGAATAGCTCAGCTGGAAGAGCAGTCGCCCGGCAAGCGAAAGGTCTCGGGTTCGATTCCCGATTCAGCGATTTTCGGATCTATTTTTTTCTCTTGCATTCATTTATTTATTTTCCGTAGGGGGGTTAAAGGGGTATTGAAATTAAATCTCAAAATATGAGATTATTTCATATTTAAAATCTTGGCCGTGTCCAAGTAAAAATTTGGTGCCTTGTGCACCGGTATTTAATTCTAACGAAAAATTATTTAGTTTCGTTAGGATAACGCATTGTCATCCGCGATTTGGCTCTTGTTGCCCGTCTTATACGTTAAATTTATATTTATATTACAGAGCCTTGTTAAAACTCTTATATTTGATACACGCTGGCTTAAAAAATGCGTTTGTTTACCAACATTAATATATATAACAGAGAAAAGTATAGAATCGAAAGGATCTGAATAGCTCAGCTGGAAGAGCAGTCGCCCGGCAAGCGAAAGGTCTCGGGTTCGATTCCCGATTCAGCGATTTTCGGATCTATATTTTTCTCTTGCATTCATTTATTTATTTTCCGTAGGGGGGTTAAAGGGGTATTGAAATTAAATCTCAAAATATGAGATTATTTCATATTTAAAATCTTGGCCGTGTCCAAGTAAAAATTTGGTGCCTTGTGCACCGGTATTTAATTCTAACGAAAAATTATTTAGTTTCGTTAGGATAACGCATTGTCATCCGCGATTTGGCTCTTGTTGCCCGTCTTATACGTTAAATTTATATTTATATTACAGAGCCTTGTTAAAACTCTTATATTTGATACACGCTGGCTTAAAAAATGCGTTTGTTTACCAACATTAATATATATAACAGAGAAAAGTATAGAATCGAAAGGATCTGAATAGCTCAGCTGGAAGAGCAGTCGCCCGGCAAGCGAAAGGTCTCGGGTTCGATTCCCGATTCAGCGATTTTCGGATCTATATTTTTCTCTTGCATTCATTTATTTATTTTCCGTAGGGGGGTTAAAGGGGTATTGAAATTAAATCTCAAAATATGAGATTATTTCATATTTAAAATCTTGGCCGTGTCCAAGTAAAAATTTGGTGCCTTGTGCACCGGTATTTAATTCTAACGAAAAATTATTTAGTTTCGTTAGGATAACGCATTGTCATCCGCGATTTGGCTCTTGTTGCCCGTCTTATACGTTAAATTTATATTCATATAGACAAAGTTAAATTTGAAGCAAAATTGTATTTAAAATAATAAAATGCCACGATCGAAGATTCAACTCGGAGTTGTATTTCAATGAGAAATCATTACTCACGTAGTTGAATTGTTCTTGATCATTCCCGCATATCAGAAATATTGGATTGGCACAGAACTGTTGCGTGATAAAATTCTGAGGGCAAATATATTTCGAAGCAAATCTCAACAAATCGTTTTGCGGCAAAAATTCATCGTGAAAGAATAACCGTATGAACATCTGTAATAAAAAATTCTTTTTCGTGATATAATACATATATATGTACTTCTAATTCATGATAATTAAAAAGTAATTCAGAAAATAATTTTTGCATTTTTTTAATAGAAAAAGTAAAACTTTAAGAAATAAAAAAATTGCTCATATATAAATTGCTCATAATCATATATAAATAAATATAAGTATATATGTAGCTATGTATTGAAAATGTTATCTTATTGTATATTAATTTTGAAATTTGAAAAGTAAATTTTTTTTTAAATCGTAGAAATATAAAAAATATAAAATAATACACAATCTCTTTTCGACTGTACTGACAAATAATTTATTGATACTAATCACTACACGTTGCGACTATAGTTTTTGGTCCTTTTCAAGTGAATTGCGAACAATAATTATATTCCTGAGATGTCAAAGAGAGAACATAGTGTCGAATTTAACACACGTCTAGTACATTGAACAGATTTATACTAACTGATTTAAACTAACTTTCAATGTACTAGACATGTGTTAAATTCGACACTATGTTCTCTCTTTGACATCTCAGGAAATAATTATTGTTCGCAATTCACTTGAAAAGGACCAAAAACTATGGTCGAAACGTAGTGATTAGTATCAATAAATTATTTGCCAGTACGGTCGAGAAGAGATTGTGTATTATTTTTTATTTTTAATTCTTCTGGCGGTCTTGACATATTTGATTATTATAAAAAATATGTTTCTTAAATTATGATTTTAAGCACATTTTTATCATGATATCTCTTATTCATATTTCATAATTACAAAACATTAGATCCCTATTAAACAGTCGTTTATGAATTTTTTGTTTCGACAAAGGGATATTGTTTTGAACAGTTATTATATATATATATATACAGGGTGTTCGGTAACAGGTGGGCCAAAATGTAAGGAGTGATTCTACATGATAAAATAAGACGAAAATCAAGAATGACAAAATTGCGTTCGAGACTTCGTTTATTAATTATAAATATTTTACACTTTGCAAAATATACATCAACTGTTACGATGTAAGTTTTTGTATACTTATACGTCACAGTGTATTTTGACGGCGACTCTACCGATGTACCTTACGCACGCCAAATATCGGAAAATTGCCGTACGTTAGGCGCCCTTAATGCGAAGTTTAAAATATTTATAATTAATAAACGAAGTCTCGGACGCAATTTTGTCATTCTTGATTTTCGTCTTATTTTATCATGTAGAACCACTCCTTACATTTTGGCCCACCTGTTGCCGAACACACTGTATATATATAATAACGTATTATTATATATATAAATATAATAATACGTTATTTAATAATAATAACTATAAATAATAAATGATTTTCTAATTTGTATTTGCATACATTATTTTACCTTCAATTCTCTCCAGAAAGGAAAAATATATTTTATCGGACTTTCTACTTGATCAAAAAAGACTGCCGGCGCAAAATTGATCATTTTTTGTACCATTCGTGCGATTTCCGGACGCTCCGATGCCATTATATAAAAACTGGTTGTACCCATCGAATGACCAACGTACGTGTGCAATGGTTGCGATTTCATATTTGTGATAAATTTAATCATCGCGGGTAAATCATAGATACCCATTTCGTGAAAGCTGGTGAAATATTTAATTATCTTACTGCCACAATATATATATATATATATATATATATATATAAATAATAAATAATAAATACATAGAAATTTATATGTATGATAGAGTATTTTACATAGATAGACTATATAAATTGATCTATTGTTAAAAAATAAATTTCTTCTCCTTTTGGCAAAATTTCCAAATAAGATACATTATTTTCAAAATATCTTTGTTTTTGCCAATATAGATTTGCTGATTCTTCGTGTTAAAATTTGATAAATTATAAATAATACAAGTATTGTAAATAGGCTCGTGTGTTTGCAATGCAAATAATACGAAATAAAAAGACCAAAAGACGAGCGTGAAATACGGGTGTTAAGTATATAATTTTTTTAAAGCAAATTGATATAGATTGTCAAATTAATTTAATACATAGTATACATTGTTTCGACTTACTAAGTCTTTCTCAGTGTGAATTAAATAAAGATATTTGTTTTGTGAACTTCAGAGTTACACCACGATTTTAGGAGGATTTTAACAACAAAAAAGTTCAGCTTCTCGCTATCACACGACGAAATTGTTTTTTGATACTGTTGAAAACTTCTAGTAAAGTACATCTCAAGCATAATTATATTGTTCACTTTACGATTTCGATGACACTCAACACGAATTCACTATAATATTAACATAAAATCATTGAATGTGCGCTTATGTTATTGCAAATTTAATTATGTTTTTTATTTTATTATTTAACTCATACTGAGAAAGACTTAGTAAATCGAAAAGTATGTATACTATGTATTAAATTGATTTGACCATTTACATCAATTCGCTTTAAAGAAATTATATACTTAACACTCGTATTTCACGCTCATCCTTTGGTCTTTTTATTTCGTATTATTTGATAAATTATATTAAAAAATATAATATATTTAAAAAATATTACTAGATATATATATATATATATATATATATATATATATATTAAAGAAGTATATTTATATGTTTGACAAAAAGACAATTGTATCAGTCTGCATCTTTATACTTATATAGGGAGAATATACTCTGTATATTTATTGTATAAAGAGTCTTTCTGGATAAATGTCACTTAAAATAATTAAGTATATATACATATATACATAGGTATATACAATAGTGATTTAAAAAAGTGAAACATGTTTACTTTTATTACACTTTATAGGCTATATAAGTAAGCATATTATATGTCTTTCTATTTTGTTTGGCAAATTAAATGTGCAACATCAGTATAAATTTATTATTTTCAAACCATCATTATTTTCATTTTATGTTAGTACCTAAAATCCCAAAATTTTAATTCCAACGGAGACAGAGAAATATGCGCCCTTGAATAGGTATTACCACGAAAATTGCCTAACCAAACATCATATCCCTGATCCGCTAATAGATAAGCTAGAATACAAAAAACATCGTTTGCAAAATTTATTACATAACTTGTATCTTCTCATATAATATTCTCTTACATATATAAATTCATATATTTATTGTTAATATTTTTAATAATTATAAATTAAAATTACGAATTGAATTGCAGTTCAATCATTATATTATCTGATAAGTTAAATAAACAATTGTAAATAAATAATATAGAATGTTAAAGATATGATACAAAAAATTAAAATTAAATTTCTACGTGTTAATAAAAGTCAAATAGTTGATAGTATGTCAGTTTTAATAAAAATTAATTTTTATTGGTATTTATTAAAATAATTTATAAAAACAAATAAATTTTGTATTGGGATTTATTTAATTATTTGATGTTGCATCAAAACAAATGTATACCTTCTGAATAACAAATCAATTTGAGTGAAAAATTAATTTTTTTTTAAACTGATGCAGTATCATCCTTGATTGACTCTTACTAGCCCGTTGGAATTTAAATTTGCATATCAAAATCATAATTTTGGAATATATTTGAAGGATTGATTAAAAAATTGTACACACCGAGTGCTTTGCCTTTACCAAGAATGATCCAGTCGGCGGAGGTGCATAACACAGCGTGTTGCAATAATACAGGTGGAGAGTCATTACTACCTGGAATACGATGTAATACCAAGAGATAACCATCCTCCGTCATTACAACATGAGTTTCTGCAGGATAACCCTCTCTTCTTATCATTTCTACCTACAGAATCAGTAAATAAATGCAAAGTTGAAATAAATTTATGCGAAAAACTCCGTATTCTATTTATATTTTAAATAAATAAAGCAAATTTCTCAAACAATTTAAATATGCAGAATTCATTGATAATAATTTTGCATAATTTTGCAATTACGTATAAATATCTATTTAATATAAAGATTTGTTAAAAGGTCAGAATAAAGGCAAATAAAAGTATTATTTTCTAACTAAACATATTGTCGTGTATTCTCGGTTTCGGCAGAAAATGGATAATGATGGCTTGATAAATAATCACAGTTTCTTTCTTGTTATATCACACGTTAACTTTACGTCAAACAGATATAAATATATATATATATATATATATATATAAATTGATCATAGGAAGAATTACACGACTTCGCTTATTGTACGAGTGCCTTGCTCCAAGGCTGGTAATATAAGAGAGAGAGCTCCGTTCTCGCGCTCTTCACTCGCCCAACCTTCCGCTCGCTCGCTCAACGCTTCTCGAACTCGCGCGTGCGCTATTACAGCTCGCGCGCGCTATACGATTACATATGTAACACATATAATGTGTGATTATTAGAGATTGTAAAGCGAGATTTCTTCGATTGATAAAATTGTAAAAAAAATTTGATATTATTTATTATAAAATTTCTTAAGAAATAATTTTTAATAAATTAAATTATTTTTTATGTTTATAGCTTTTGAATTAGTTGAAATGAATCTAATGACTATGTTACGATTATAATAAATGTTTATTTTTACATAAATTTTTAAGCTGACTAAAATAGATACTATAAGAGTTTTAACAAGGCTCTGTAATATAAATATAAATTTAACGTATAAGACGGGCAACAAGAGCCAAATCGCGGATGACAATGCGTTATCCTAACGAAACTAAATAATTTTTTGTTAGAATTAAATACCGGTGCACAAGGCACCAAATTTTTACTTGGACACGGCCAAGATTTTAAATATGAAATAATCTCATATTTTGAGATTTAATTTCAATACCCCTTTTAACCCCCCTACGGCTGGAAGAGCAGTCGCCCGGCAAGCGAAAGGTCTCGGGTTCGATTCCCGATTCAGCGATTTTCGGATCTATATTTTTCTCTTGCATTCATTTATTTATTTTCCGTAGGGGGGTTAAAAGGGGTATTGAAATTAAATCTCAAAATATGAGATTGTTTCATATTTAAAATCTTGGCCGTGTCCAAGTAAAAATTTGGTGCCTTGTGCACCGGTATTTAATTCTAACGAAAAATTATTTAGTTTCGTTAGGATAACGCATTGTCATCCGCGATTTGGCTCTTGTTGCCCGTCTTATACGTTAAATTTATATTTATATTACAGAGCCTTGTTAAAACTCTTATATTTGATACACGCTGGCTTAAAAAATGCGTTTGTTTACCAACATTAATATATATAACAGAGAAAAGTATAGAATCGAAAGGATCTGAATAGCTCGCTGGAAGAGCAGTCGCCCGGCAAGCGAAAGGTCTCGGGTTCGATTCCCGATTCAGCGATTTTCGGATCTATATTTTTCTCTTGCATTCATTTATTTATTTTCCGTAGGGGGGTTAAAGGGGTATTGAAATTAAATCTCAAAATATGAGATTATTTCATATTTAAAATCTTGGCCGTGTCCAAGTAAAAATTTGGTGCCTTGTGCACCGGTATTTAATTCTAACGAAAAATTATTTAGTTTCGTTAGGATAACGCATTGTCATCCGCGGTTTGGCTCTTGTTGCCCGTCTTATACGTTAAATTAAAATAGATACTATTTATACAATAAAATTTGTATATATATATATATATATATTATATTTATTATGTTTTAAAATAAAAAGATATATGTAATTTAACAGTAAATAAACGATACTAATAATTGAATCGGATCTAAATTGATTTTTAAAAAACAAAAAAAATGTTGAAAAAAAGATAATACAAATTTTAATTTTTAATATTTTACAATTCAAATAATAAAAATTTCAATTTTGTTATTAGTTTATAATGAGTAAAAACGTATGTTTACCGTGTCGAAAGTGTCATCGGGATTGAATTTAAAATCTCTCAATTGCTCCCAGTTGATCCACGATATTTTCTCGGCAAATACATGTAGCTGATTTTTTACGTCTTCTACTGCATTCGAAAAATTGCAGAATAATGCAAGATATATGACTAATCTCATCGCGTCTATTATAGAGATCAATTTAATAAACTGTAAAAAAGCAGTCATGTTATCTTATCGGGATATAAGTATATATATATATATATATATTACTGAAAAATGTTTATTAACGTGCAAATAGAAAAAGGCTAATAATTAAAGTAGACTAGAAATAAAATTAAAATAGGCTGGATTGAATTTCTGTTTTCTTTTCGAAATCAAATGTATATGTATTTTTGTAGAAAAATATCTACAACGATATCTGAATGAAGTATAACATTCAATTTAAATTGTTAACAATTACTAAGCGCATTAATTAATTATGCATTCGCAATTATCGCCAAGCATTTGCAAGTAAAAAATCTAGATAACATTATGCAACAATTTCATAATTAGATTGATGCAATAATATATTGATATTTTAATCATTGTAAGACCGCAGAAACACAAATACAGTTTACAAGCACAAAATACACATTAATCATTCTATTCTCATTTTATGTTAATTAATTTTAAATTGTCATTATTTAAATTTAAATTTTAAATTTTTGTAATATATGTAGATTGAGAATTATGTTTAATAAATGGCAACGTAGAAATTTCTGCTTATAAATTTTTGCTTTCTCAAATTTGCTCTGCATTTGCATTGCGATTAAAATGTCAACGGATGTTTTATAATAATGTTTTATTAATCTGAATTAATCCCTAATTCATGTTTTTTTTCCTTTGTCCGATCAACAGGTTAGCTATTTTCTAAAAGATTCGGTTTTTCTTTTTTTGACATTTTATTAAACGTTTTCTTTTAGAAAAGGATAAAGCAAGTCATATAGCACATGCGTTAATTTCATAATTTCTCACTGTACCTAATGTTTTATAATACATTGTCCAACACACTAATAAGTATTTTTTACATTTTACAGACAAAAAATTAATTTTTTAAAATGTATTTATTTTTTTAAATTAATTTTTTTATTTTATGTACATAGTTTTTCATAAAATTGTGAAAAATTTATTTTTTAAAATAAAATTTATTCAGAATATTTCAAAATTTTAAAATTTACTTTTAAAAATATATTTAAATATATTTTAACATTTTTCAAAAATATTTTATGTAAAAAATTGTGCAAATGGAAATTTGCACATATTGCTTCCTCATTATATTATTTCGCTAATTAGGATGTTTTTTCAATTATGGCTTCCTTATAGAAAACGCTTAATTTGCATATTACTTGATTACCATTTAATTTCTTCTGTAAGAAATCCATAATTGAAATATTATTATTTTTTATTTTATGTAAAAAGCTTGACTTATATGCAATTAAGATAAATCAGACAGTCAGTCAATTAATCAATCTCTCTCTTGTTATCAATGTTGTGCTTGAATAATTTTAAAATTAGTTAAATAAAGATGACATAAAAATATGTAAATTTATTATAGATAAGATAAAGATGATTTTGTATTAAATGTATCTATATAAAAGATAAAATTATACGGCCATTTATCTAAATAACTTCTAGATAATATTATTTTTAAGACCGCTATAAACACAATTATAAAAATATGTAAAAAGGAATATAAAAATAGATCCATACTTTTATAAGTTTTATCGTTTAGCGTTTAAATTCTACTTATGAAACAGATAATAATCCTTAAGGTTCGCCAGTAATAATTAATCAAAATCTTTTCTCAATGGTAAAAGTCGACCAAAACTGGCAATCATTTATTATAAATAATTAATTAAAATACAACATTTTGGCTGTCATTGCAGCCCTTTTCAAGTAAATTTATAAAAAGTTAAATAAAAATAATTATAATTTTAATACATTTTATCGCAACAAATAATTATAAATTTATATACAAAAATATGTTACATGCCAAACGTAAATGCATAATAAATTAATACAATAAATCAAATTCACTGCATACCACCGACAATATTTACCATTGTTTTAATGAACAATGTAGAATTGACAGAAGTAAGCAAGAAATAAATAGACGTTAACAGTTAGCAAGAATCTTAGTCACTATGCGTTAAGAAACGCTACTTTTAAGTATTTTTATGTGCTATAACTCTAGATTAAGTTATCTGACCATTATTCTAAATAATTTCGTGAAGATAATACTTTTTTTCATTCAAAATGCAGATAAATATATTATAAGTAATACATATTTTTATTATCTACATGAAGATAAGATGACGCCAAAATTTGATCTACAAGATCATCTATATAATTTTATTCTTTTATTACTTACCATGACATTAATTACTCAATCGTCAAAACTATGCGATATTTCCGTGATAGATTTTCTAATGTATCGGTGATAAATCGATGAATTGTATATCAATAGATTTATCTCCCGATCGTAAACACACAACTTGGCAGACCAGTAGACGCCAATGAAATGCAGAAGTGTCTTAGCTAAAACGTCAGTTGAAGCGTGATTCTTGATAATAGTATAGTAGAGTCGTCGATGGTGGTAATGAAGTCTAAACAAAAAATAAGCACGTGTGTACGAAGTTCAATTTCAAGCATTCTCACGTTTAATCGATGGACAATGGTGTTGATCGATAATTCGATCGAAGTTATAATTCTGTTCGGTATTGCGATCAAAATTTGTTATCCCTGATGTAATTATATATATTTATAAGTTTAGGTATTCAAAAAATAATGAATTCTTATTATATGTAGACGATTTAAAAATTTTCCGTTAACAAATGATCTTAGTGACGTAAGACGATTTAAAAATTTTCCGTAGAGTAAATGATTTTAATGACGTAAGATTATTGCGGCATGATTCTTTTTGCTTGGGTAAATGAAGTAAATTAAACAAAAATTACAGTCTATTATGTCTAAATTAATGTTACGTGACGCAAAAAATCTGAGCAAAAAAAACTATATAACTTTTGAGCGTGACTAATTCTGGAACGGAGCCTTTTTTTAAATAACTGCTTTGATAATCTCGGCGTAACTTTTTGCTCGACGTCGTTTTTTGAAATGCATGTTCTAAATATTGTAAATCGAGTATTTAAAAAATTCGGCTTCGTCATGCGCGCGTTCGAGTAGATACTTCAAGAAAACTGCAAATTTTATACTGTGCAGTATAGTTACATGATTTGGTATCATTTAAATAAAATTATATAGATAATTATCTCAATAAAATTGGCATTATTTTCTCTTTATATAGACAATGAAAAATAAATGACTCTTAAAATTTTGCAACATGTATCTTTAAGAAGGAATATTCACCTTAACCTACTCCCCGCCAGTGACTTTGACCTTAACCTTGACATACATATTGTCAGGGTCACTATTCTGAATAGCATCTAAAAGATTTCGAACACTGTATACGATAATAGATTTCGTTTCGTATTGACTGAAAAGATGGTGTAAGTGAAACCTCGTTATACGTAGCTAAATTAATTATAATTAATTAATTATAATTAATTTATTATTAATTTTGTAATCTTCAAAAATCATTATCCACAAGATTATTATACTATTATTTAAATTTAAATCCTAGATTTTTTATGTTTACAGTAATTCAGTTTACGTTGTACTATTTTTCTAAAATAATTTAAATTTGAGTAATGATTAGTTTTAATTATTTATTAAAAATAAATAGAATTTATGATAAATATTTTTTACAAAGATTTATTTATAAAGATTTATGATAAATATTTTTTATCAAAAGTCGAGAGTAAGAATTTAATCAGTATTAACAATCTCTAACTCATCGCTATTTTTATATTCTAATCAAATAAGCAGTCATTATATAAATGATCAGGTAAGTCGAATCTAAACCGGTTTTGGAAAAATATTTTACATTTATTTTATATTTGGCATGGTATCTAGAAATAAGAACGGAATACAAGGTTTGGCGAATAACAATAAACTGATATATTAAACATAATATCATCTTTTAATAATTTCCTTGTATTTTGAGTTCCTTCATTTTACGCGTTCAGTGATTAAAATGTTTATTATTATAGCTTTTGTTTTTTTCATTTTTCAGCCTTCTTCAATTATTTTATTTCTATGTCGAGTTTCTTCTGGCTAAGTACTGAGCTTTACTATGTGGCGGACATTCAGGTAAATTGCCAAGTTTTATATTGTTCTTTATATTTGACTTGTTTCTAATTTTATTTGTTTTTTATATTATACAAGCCTGATAGTATTTATATTGCGTCGATCATTTTTCGATGTATAATATGTCCATTCACGCAGCAAAATCAAACTTTTATTATACCAGTTCTTCATATTTACAAGTATTTCCAGAATGTCTAACAGCATCTGAACACAAAAAAAACGATTAATGTGAATAGCTCGGATTACAAAATGAGAAATGTTATAAATATATACATGAAACATGTACTGTAATTATTAAATTGGCAAATTAAATAATATAATAAATATAGATGAAGATATAGCTGACAATTTTTTAGTAAATATTTTACTTATAATTGTATTTAAATATTTTACGCAAATATTTTTTATTTCAAAAAAAGAAATTATTATATAAATATATTTAAATTCTCAGAAACCTATAATTATATGATTACGATTTTGATATTAGAATCAAAGAATTGAATATATATATAGACTGGTATATAACTGTATTTTTTGTCAAAAATATTTTCTTAATATGTCAAAATTATTATAATTTTTACACAAGAATTGAGAAAGAGCAAATATATTGTATTGACATATTAAACAATAAGAAATTTTTATAATAATATATTTTCAGAAACTTTGTCAAAAAAACTAATTTTTTATTACAAACAAGTAGTTAATTTTTTATGTAGTATGTTTTAAATATTGCATGTGTATATACATTGATCATATACATTTTGTAAAAATACATATATATTATATATATGTATATGTATATATATAGTATATATATATATATTTCTATTGTACGTATTTATTACTTATGGCGATTATAATAATTTATACGCGCAAAGCAAAGTTATATCATTCTTTGATAATAAAATCTCAAAATATGCAACTTATGCATAAAAATATATAAATTAATTATGCAAGCATAAAAATTCAATATATAAATCAATTATTTGAAATAAATATATATTTCAATAACAGAAAATGCGAACAAAAAAGTAATATTTTCTACAGGGATTTTTGTGATTAAATATCTACGCTTTCATTAGACTCGCGCGAGACTATCCATATATCTGTCACTCTGCGTGGCTCGCGTCTCGCATGAAACTGATTCTCGTGTGGGGCTCGCGGTACCTCGTACGAGCATCAGTCTCGCGTGGAAGAACGCGCAGCGTGAAGGATGTGTGGAGTAGTCTCGCGCAAGTTTAATCAAATATTAAATTTTTATACGTTGCATAATTAATTAATTAATATATTTTTTATGCATTGATGGTCACGATATAATTGTTGCATGCGTTGCCATTTTTAAGATTTTATTTATTAACTTTTATTTGTTTCGCGTGTAATTATTTGTATTCGGTTAGATTTAACCGAAATGAATAATATATGTATATGCCAGGATGTTAATCGATTTTTTATCATTTTCACGAAATGGGTATCTATGATTTATCCGCAATGATTTAAATTTATCACGATCGTGATAATGTAACCCACTGCACACGGAATTGATCATTCAATGAGCGCAACGGGTTTTTATACATATAATGGCATCAGACGTCCGGAAATTGCTGAAAAGGTAACGAATGATCTGTCTAGGCGTCTAAAAATGATATGGGAAAGAAGTTCAGTGTTCAACAGCTGTTATAAAGAAATCGTTGCAGCTAAAATAGTCAGAAAACACGCATTTGTGTACTCATTTTTTACATTGACGGAGAGATGAAAAATTGACATTTACAGAAGGATCAACAGAAATAACTCAAAAAGAAAATTTTTTTGAGGACATCAAGATCCTTTATTCGATATTTATCGTGTATAAGAAACTTGTAACACATTTGATGATTTATAATAATTATGTAAAACAATTAATAATTTTTCAGCTTAATGTTTTTCTTATAATTGGGGTCTAAATTACATTGTATTTTCATACTTTATCTTTTTTTCAGATATAATTTCACACTTTTTTCACGGATTTTCTTAATACAGATTAGTTTGTATCTCGTCTGCTTTCTAACTCTAACTCTCTAAAGTGTGTAAAAATTAGAATTAATTAGCATTACTTAATTTGTATTTTTTGCAAGAGAACAAGCATATGATAAATATCTTGGGATTCGGTATGCAAACTCG